CATATTGTACAGTTTGTAGGTAGATTTTGGCTTTGCTTGCTTTGTAACTGTTCACTCAGGATTTCTTTAAAGACTAAAATTTTATGACAGCAGCAAGAGGCGTTTTCTGATACAAATTTTTGGTTTTTGTTCCTTCAGAGATTGAATTGCTCAAGAAACTGCTGCCTGAGATGGTGAGGTTTGAACCTAGTTGGAAGGAGCTAGAACTCTACAAAGATGGGGGGCTGGCTGTGATTGACCAGTGGATCTGTGCGCATGCAAGGTAGTGAATTTGCCTTTTCTTTGAGGAGCCAAATTTTACTGTCATAAACCTGAATATTATTTTTGACCCAGATATAGCTGTCTACAAATCTTATTTAAATTAATTGGACTGAAATCAATTACTTATATTTTAAAAACTAGGCACCTTCACAAACCCTTTCTCATTTTTTCACAGGTATTTTATAGGCACCTCAGTTTCAACATTTTCCTTCCGGATCCATGAAGAAAGAGAGATCTTGGGATTTGATCCAAAAACAACTTACAACCGATTTTGTGGTGAAAAAGAGAAAAACTGTGAGCAGCCAACTCACTGGAAAATTGTGTACTAGTATATAGAGAAATCCAAGGACTTTAATACTCCGGTGAGCTCAAGAGAATGAGGAAAGACTACAGGGAAATCCATGCCTTTTACCAAACTACAACTCAGTCCTCTCCCCTCTTCTCTGTGTTTACTTGACATCTGCGTTTTGAAGCACAAGCAATAGTCATCCTTTTATCCAGACACTGATGTGAGCAAGGAAAATTAAGTCAGCCTGGGATTCAGTTCTCAGCATAACTATGATTACAGATGATACCGTGCACTACAATTAAGATTGGAAAGGCAGAACTTTGTGCTGAAGCTGAGTAATGAATCAAGTCAATGTTCTCTTAGGAGTTCTTAGGGAAGGAGAGGATCAAAGCTCAACTTCTATACATGTAACACAGCTGTGGTCTGTACCGCATTTCTGTCTTTACCTGATCGTTTTTTTGTTAAGTGTTTGCATCTCTGCAAGAAGTACAGCTCATTTTTGTAAGCTGCACTGTGTGAGTTGCAGATCGTGCGTAAACTCTGCAGTTCCTTAGGAAAAATCTTCCCTTTTTGACTAGCAAGTTGTCAATATTCAAATTGTCTGATCCAGTCAATTCTCAGTAAAAAGAAGAGGGTGTGGTACTTCTGTGTGAGCACTATGCTGTGAGAAGCAAAGCTTCACATAGCAGTCACAGTGGGTCTGTGCTGAGAGGCACAAAGACTGGTTTTGGAGGGTGGTAAAATAAGTGTTGTTTCGTGTGCTTTTTCTTCACAGAGGAAGCTTTTCCATATCATCCTCTGAAGGGTGTATTCAGTTGGACTGATGCTAATGTCAGTACCTTTTGGGCATCGCTCAGCTAAGTGACCATGATACTTAGCCAGGGAACATGCTAAAAGACCTTTCAAGTTTCCATATCAGTTAAATAAATCGTCCCAGTAGTTCATCAAATTAATGTTCTGAGTTTCTGCTTCAGAAGGGAGCAAACTGAAGAAAAGTAAAGACAACAAAGGCCATTGGGCCACAAAAGAATGTGTATAAGCTGAGCAGTTAGGTACCTTGCAGGTGATAGTGCACTCCAATGGAGACAGCTGGCTGGTAGTACATGGGAAGAGCACTGTGCTACACCACTAGTGGTGTACACAGCACTACAGATGGAAAGTACAACTCCTATTTGTGAAATGCTTTTTAAGTACAAATCCTAGTTTTTGCAGTCTCCTGCCATTCAGATTTGACTGCTAGGCAGTATTCTGCATTTTGTGCTTCAGATGGGTCTTTTGCCCTGCAGATGCACATGGCTCTGTAAAGCAAGAGAAACTTTTTTTCAAAAATGGACATGGAGAGAGGTTTCGAGAGGTGAGTCAGATGTTTTTCCCGAATTCAGTTTTACTAGGTTACCTCCCTGTTAGTAGAACCTTCACTTGCTTTTTCCCTTGGCTTGAGCAGGAGCACAGATATAAACCTCCTGCACTGTGCTTTGGATGTTTCATAGATGCTTCCAGACAATGAGGCTGTTTCCTTCTGTGCAACTGCAGTGAAAACTGAGAAGACTTCTCAGACAGTAGTAGCAACAGCTATCCTGTTCTTACCAGCTGTTTATTTATTTCCTTGTTGCAGCTGAGTCTCTCTGGTGACAAAGTGGGGAACCCAACTAAAAGCAGTGCCTTTGCCCACCAAGTCAAATGTTCTCATTCAGCCTGTTTGCCATATAAAGCAATGGTGACATCTTACATGTAAGGAGTACCTCCGTTTATTGAGGAAAAAATAAAAACTTAAAATAAAAAAAAAGCTTTCTAGCATTGTATGTATCTTGGCAAGGGGATTTACCAGCCTTTGAGGAAAAATTGCACAGAGAGACCTCGCTCAAGGGAGGAAAGCTCGACTGCAATGGCCTCCTGCTCCTGATGTTGCTGCTGCTCCTGTTCTGTCTGGTCCCAGCCTGGATTTGGTGAAGACCAAGCACAGACAGAGCTGAGGGTCCGTGGGAGAGGCTGGAGGACACAGCCAAGACCATGCTGCCCAGGCAGAGTGATCCCCGAGCCAGGAACTAGCTGGGCACTGAGCCCAACCTCTCTTGTGCATGCATGGGAGCCAGGTGTTCCCCAGCAGACGCGGCATGGTAAGGGCGGAGAGCCCTGCACCCCACAAGGTGCTTGCTGCCATGGCGCAGGAGAGGTCTGTAGCCACAGGATGGCTGCCCACGGCCTGCCTCTCCCTGCTCATCCCATGGGTTTGGACGGTTCCCCTCGCCCCGTGCCACATGGGACAGCAGCTCCTGTGAGGACGGCAAGGGACGAGGGGTGGTGTGTGTGTCGGTGCTGTGATGGTGTTATGTTTATTTTGGTGTGGTGAATTCTTTTTCTTTTTGAAGTAAATGAAGTTTGAGAAGGCTGTGATAATTGTAAAGTAAGAGGATATTGTGATTAATCTTAACTATGCTTTTAACAGAGGCGAGGGGTGGAATGTAGTGGGTTTACGTGGCAAGGTTTTGGTAGCAGGGGGCCCTAGGGGTGTTTTCTGTGAGAAGGATCTAGAAGCTGCCCCATGTTTGGTAAGGGCCCCACTGCTGACCAGAGCCGAGCCAATAAGCGATGTTGTTTTGCGCCTCTGTGAGAGCATATTTAAGAAAGGGAAAAAAACGCTGCGCCACACAGCAGCTGGGAGAGTCAGAGGAGTGAGGAATGGCCTTGCAGGCGCCAAGGTCAGTGAAGAAGGAGGGGGAGAGGTGCTCCAGGCGCCGGAGCAGAAGTCCCCTGCGGCCTGTGGTGAGGACCACGGTGGAGCAGGTGGCCCTGCACTGACGGAGGCTGCTGCCTGTGGAAGACCCCTCCCGGAGCAGATTCCGGGCCGGACCTGTAGCCCGTGGAGAGGAGACCTGGGTGGACCCAGGTTGGAGCAGTTTTCTCCTGAGGGATGGACCCCCATCCCTCAGATATGGGTACGGACCCATATCTGGAGCAGTTCTGGAGGAGCTGCTGCCTGTGGGAAGCCCATGCCAGATCAGTTCATGAAGGATGGCATCCCGTGGGTGGGACCCCACAGCACAGGGGACGAGAGTGACCGAGAAGGAGCGGCAGAGAAGAAGTGCTGTAGACTGACCATAACCCCCATTCCCCTGTTCCCCTGCGCCGCTCGGGGGGAGGAGGTGGAAGAGGGTGGATGGGGAGGAAGGTGCTTTTGGTTTCTTTCCTTCGTTTCTCACTTCTCTAGCTTGTTAGTAATAAACAACAAATCTTACTATCTCCCTATGCCGAATCTGTTTTGCCCGTTACGGTAACTACTGCGTGATCGCCTTGTCCTTATCTCAACCTTTGAGCCCTTTTCACATATTTTCTCCCCATTCCTCTTTGAGGAAGGGGAGTGAGAGAGCGGCTGTGGTGGAGCTCGGCTGCCCACTCGAGCGGAACCATGGCAGTAATGCTACGGCTTGATACTTCCACGCTTCTCCTTCTTGGGGCTGCCTCAGTGAACCACACGCTGCTGAAATCGGGCTCAAACTGGGGAGGAGCATGTTCACCGGGGCAGGAAGGGGGCTTCTCATCTGGCTTAACCTCTACTGGTTAGCGCATGGGAAGAATCTGAGGTGTGCCCTCCTCTATTTGATGAGCATGCCCATAGGGAGCTCGTTGCACACACCGTTTTCGAAGGGATTCCGTTTGCACCCCTGTGGCAGGGGTGGGGTTCCGGCAGTTACCGGTCACTTGAGCGCTTTGGAGGGCCCTGGCAGAATGGTTGGCTCTTGGTTTATCGTTCTGACACCCCCCTGTGAAGCTGGACGGACTACAAATGGCCCTTTTCCCAGGTAAAGTAGGGCTTCTCGGCATCCTTGAAACTTCGGGAAAGTTTGTTTGGGGCGAGTGGGACCTTTGGGTCCGTGCTGCCATGTGTGAGGTGAGAGCCCGTGGGTGGCATGGCGGCCTGGGATTTTTATCTTTTCTGCTGGAGCTTGGAGCCCTCAGCTGTCAAGACGGGCAACTATATCCTTTTGAGTCTGCCCCACCACAGAGCCACAAGACGCTGGGGCCACCAACGAGCACACCGTTGAGATACCGATATGCTTGAACTCCTTTCCCAGGCGTAACTGGGGCAAGATGTTTAGTCTCATTAAGTCACCCCCAGCAATTACTCCACAGCCAGCCATTCGCTGGAGGTTCCCAGTCACTTCAGGGCCCAAGTCTTCCACGATTTTATTGCCTCAAAGGAAAGACACGCAGATGAGGGGAAGAAGACAGACTGCTTGTCTGGGGAAGGCCAAGGAGATCTGGGAGCAAGCGAAGGGGGCAGAAGGTCCTGAAGGCTGGAGGTGCGACACATGCTGGGAGAGTCCAGGGGACACCCAGCCTTCCACACGCTTTTGGGTGGCCCCAGCACACAGGATGCCTGCCATCATCCCTGTGCACAGCAACAGCAGCACAGGAAGGCCAGTGCAGAGCACTTCTTCCGCGCCTTCCAGAGTCGGTAGCTCAGCCCTCGTAATCCAGGTACACTGCGTGGCAACCTCATTGCAGCTCGTATAATGAAGAGGGTCTCAGTTGCGAGCGAAGAGACAGAGGAACTGACGTCATCCGTCATGCCTTGAATGGCTGTGAGAGAGAGGAGCGGAGGCAAGGTCAGAGCCTGTGTTTGCGGGGACCCTGGGAAGGGCCCCATCCCTGGAAGTATTCAAGCAAGGTTGGACGGGGCTTTCAGCACCCTGGTCTAGCGCGAGGCATCCCTGACCAGGCAGATGGGTTGGAGTTCGATGACGTCACAGCTCCCTTCCAACCCAAAGCATTCTGTGACTCTGGTTTTATGATTCTACCAGCTCCTGCTGTGGCCAGCGCCACCCAGCTCTTCCTGTGGCCAGGCAGGAGCAGGGGGCAATCCGCCAATACCCCGCTGCCCTCACTTACCTTCATAGATGATGAGGAGCTCCTCCTCACGCCAATCCCTCACTCGCCGTGCAATGAGCCCTAGGCAGTACACACAGCCTGTCACAAACTCTGCCCGCCAGCCCTTCCCAGCAGCACATCTCCCCATCTCCCCCCCGCTGGCCCTGCTGGCCGGGCCACCTCCTCCTCCTTCCCTCGGGCACAGAGGGACCCCGGGGCTCGGGCTCACCGATGAACCTGACGGCTTCCAGTCGCAAGGGCTCCTGTGGGCTCTGCAGGTACGGCAGGCTCTGGCGCAGGTGCTCATCCAGGCTGTTGTCCTCCAGCTGCACAAGAGAGAGCGCAAGGGCATGGGGCTGGTGCAGAGCCTCCCCCTTGGACAGCTGCCTGCCCCATGCCCTGGGGCGCTGTGGGCTTGTCCAGTCTGGGTCGGGGCCTTCAGAGCTGTCCTTACCAGGTACTTGCCGAGTCTCCTTGTTTGCTTTCTCTCCAGCAGGTCCACGAGCTGCGACCTCTGCAGGAATTTGGCAGCATCGAGAAGGGTTTCCTCTGCGGCCTGAAGAGCAGCAGAGACTTTGAAGTGGCACCCCCAGCTCTCAGGGGACCTGTGTCCCCAGCCCCTTGGCGAGGCTGCAGGGGCTGCACGCCTCTGCACGGCCCAGGGCGCTGTGTGGGGCAGGCTGACCACAGGGAGCAGGCGTCTGCTCCGCAGTGTAGTGCCCGAGGGAGCTGGGGCTGGATGCAGGGAGCAGGGATGGCAGCAGAGCCCACGGCTCCGTCCCTCCTGCGGGTGCTCAGTCCCACCCCGGGGTGTCAGCATCGCCCTCCCCAAATGCCCACGCTGGGCAGAGAAGCCAACCTCGGCCACTTGCTGGTTCTCGTCGTGCAAGTGGAAGAACAGCGGGATCACGCTCTGGCACACGTGTGTCTTCAGCTGCTCTTTCTCCCTTGCTGCAAAAAGGCTCATCACATCTCTGAAGAAGTGGATGGATTGCAGCTGCGTGGAGCTGGATTCCTGGTGGGAAGGAAGAAGCGAAGACCTCAGCACCAGCTGCTCCAGGCCCACCTGGGCAAGGGTGTGAAAATTCACAGGGCACAATGCTTCCTGACAGCACCCAACATCCATCAGGAAAGGCACCGGCCCTCAGAGACCCCCGCTGGGCCCTGTGCCCTCAGCCTTACACTGTCAAAGAACGCTGGCAGCCTCTCTGCCAGCTGCAGAGCGGTGGGCCTGGCCTTGTTGATGGTCATCTCCTTGAGCATGTTTTTGAGCACAAACAGCGCATTTCCAGCCACGTCCCCTTCCAAATCTGGCAGTATCCCCATGATCTCTGGCAGCAGGAACTCCATTTTTTTCGCCTGTGGGGAGCAACAACACCGTGTTGGGCTGTGCTTGCAAACACTCTCAGGCTGTCAGAGCCCACAGTGCCCAGAAGCCACGGTCCTGCCCCAAAGGACTTGGGCAGGCGCATGGGGAGGCACAAGAGTTGGGAGCAGCTCCCACAGCACTCGGTGCCCAGCCAAGTCCAAGCAACGGTGTTAGCCAGCATCCCTGGCCCAGAGCCACACCACCAATGGGGTGTGTTCAGCCAGCTGAACCCTGCTTACCACATAGGGTCTTCTGCTGAGCGTTTTGAGGCCCTTGAGCACCAGCTGACGCATCGCCGTGCACTCACTCCTCAGGTATCTTGGGAAGAGCTGCAGGACTCGAAGACACTCCATTTTGAGGTCCTCACAGGCCAGCATCTGAAAAACACGCCTCAGTCAAGGCTGGAATTGGCCGGCAGAGACCTCGCTCACGGGAGGCACAAGAAACCGCAGACAAGTGTCACTCTGGCAGTGTGTGCCAAGGGGATGAGCCCCAACGGATGAAGCCCTGCCCCAGCTCCACCGGCCAGCCTCTCCCCACAGCTGTGGCCACCAGAGGGTGGAGTGGCGAGAGGCAGCTCAGGCCGGCACCGCTTGCCATCGGGCTCACCTCGACCAGGAAGGCCATGGCGGGGACCTTCCAGCGTGGCTCGTTGTTGTTGAGCCACGTTTCCAGATACAGCACAATCCGTCGGCGCTCTGTTCTTGAGACATATTTCATCGCCCTGGCAGAGGGAAGAAGGCAGGGTGAGTCCTGAGCAGGAGTCCTGAGCAGAAGTCCTGAGCAGGACGGGTGAAGTGCTCCTGGCTCTGTTCCAGCAGCCACCAGCATTTCATGCTCCCGGAGGCCTGGTCTTTCCCCACCTCTCCTTGCAGGGAGGAAGCCAGTGCCCCACAGCAGTGTGCACCTCGGGTGCACCATGGGCTTCCTGCCCCTTCTGAGGAGACCTCATTGGTGCCCACGGGCAATTCACGCGCCCCGGGCTCTGCCGGTGTCCCTCAGTGCCCTCACCTGGCCAGCAGACCCACTGCCCAGTGGTGGCTCTCAGCGTGGAGTAGCATCTCCCAGATATTCCTCTTTCCCAATTCAAGCACCAGCATATCATACCCAACACGGCAGAGCAGTGCTTTCAGAGTCAGCAGTGCGAACCTGCAGGCAGAGCACAGCCCAGGTCACACCCGGATCCCTGGCCCAGGCTCCAGGACCATGGGAAGGATGGGAGGAGGGGGACAAAGCACCTGCTGGGGCTGGTGGCAATGCCCTCCTCCTGCTGGCATTCCCTGAAGAAGGTCTCCACCTCTTCTGGTGTCTGCTGCGCGCTTGCGAAGATTTGGAAGAGCAACACCATCAGGGGTAGAGAGAAGCTCATCTCCTGCTCCATTGGGTAGTTGGCTGGCCGAAGGAGCTCCCACAGCACCCTGGTTGCCTGCAGAAAAGACCCAGAGATGGCACTCACTGCTGAGCCAGCCCCGTGGCACGGCCCCAGTGTGGGAGGCCGAGGCTCAGGTGCAGACGTGGGCCGCAGGAGATGCAGGCAGAGCACCCGGCCTGGCTCCCATCCGGAGCTGAGCCACAGGCAGCCTCCCTGGGGCGGTGGCAGTGTGCCCTGGCTGAGCCTCCTGCGGCCTGCCACCAGCCTGGGCTCTCCGTCCCAGCCCCTGCAGCCTGCTGGGCTGTGCCTTGGCCCTGGCCTGTCCCCTAAAATGCCCTAAGCCAGGTTTGCAGCCCACCGCCTGAGGCAGGGAGACGTAGTGACAGGGGAGGAGGGATAGCTGCCCCGAGATGCAGCCCCTGGGGGGAGAGAGGGCTTGTTCAGAAACTCACGGCCAGGGCGAAGACATCCGTGTTGTCCCCGTCAGAGGTGGACGTCCTGTGAAAGGGCCAGTCCTTCAGCACGTGGCACAGCTCTGTCATCACCTTCTTTTTAGTCCGGGATGAGACGACCATCACCCTCCACATGGTCACGGCAGCTCTGCAGGGCCAGAGAGCTGGGTCAGGGGGGCCTTGGCCACAGCACCAAGACCTGGGCACCCGTGGAGGGGCCCAGGCTGGCTGCCAGTCCTACCTCTGCCCCCTGCCCCTCACAGGCAGCCCCTGGCGGGCCCTGTGGGGCAGGGAGGGATTGTGGTGGCAGGCTCTGGGGCTGACGTGCCAGGGCTGGGAAATGGGGCGATGCAGGGCTCGGCCCCTGCAGAGCACCCTGAAAACTGCCATCTGCCTGGCAGCTGGCGCTGGATGGGCTCGAAAGGCTGACGGGCCCCGAGCCATCAGGGCAGGCGGGCACCATACCTGTCGCACGCTGGGGAGCAGCGCAGCAGAGTCACCACCACGTCGTGGGGGTGCTCCTCGGCCAGTTCCAGAAGGCTCTTGTCCAGGCGGTGCTGGGCAGACTGCTCTGTGTTGGACACGAGCCACTGGTAGATGCTCCTCAAGATGCCCGGTGCCTGAAGGAGAAAGGGCTGAGAGTGGGGCTGCTGCCAGAGCAATCCCTTTCCTGGGGTCCACTGACAAGCGCTTCTATTCCCACCACTCAGGGCTGGCCAAAAAGGATGTCACATGCCCAGCAGACAGAGCTTGAAGGGGGGCACACGATCCCCCAAGGGCTTGAGACCCACTGACTGGATACTTACATGATGTGGAGGGATGACACTGTGTAGTACACGCTTATCCAGCTCGACTGCAATGGCCTCCTGCTCCTGATGTTGCTGCTGCTCCTGTTCTGTCTGGTCCCAGCCTGGATTTGGTGAAGACCAAGCACAGACAGAGCTGAGGGTCCGTGGGAGAGGCTGGAGGACACAGCCAAGACCATGCTGCCCAGGCAGAGTGATCCCCGAGCCAGGAACTAGCTGGGCACTGAGCCCAACCTCTCTTGTGCATGCATGGGAGCCAGGTGTTCCCCAGCAGACGCGGCATGGTAAGGGTGGAGAGCCCTGCACCCCACAAGGTGCTTGCTGCCATGGCGCAGGAGAGGTCTGTAGCCACAGGATGGCTGCCCACGGCCTGCCTCTCCCTGCTCATCCCATGGGTTTGGACGGTTCCCCTCGCCCCGTGCCACATGGGACAGCAGCTCCTGTGAGGACGGCAAGGGGCAGAGGCAGCTCGCAGCTGCCAGCCCTTCAGCCCAGCTCAGCCTCTCACCTGCCTGCAGCACCTGCACCTCGGTCAGCTCATAGGGCTGCTGCGCTGGAGAGGCATTAACCTTGGCCTCCTCCTCCTCCGTCCAGGCCAGCTTGGGCATGCTGGGGTCTCTCCCCGCCATGCTGCTGAGGTCTGGCCTCAAGGGCTCCCACCACAGGGATGGGAAACGCTTCCAGGAAGCACCAAAGACACGGGTAGCAGGAATGGGGTGGCTCTGCAGGGACTCCTTGCAGCTCCACTCCTTCCCGACCTGTCCCGCCTCGTCCTCCAGGAAAAGTGGGGAAACCAGGCTGCCAGCAGCATTTCTATCCCGGAGGTCACAAAGGGCCGTTGCCTGGACACAGCCCGCATCATGGCAGCTCACAAAGGGCCCCGTGACCCGCTGCCACCTGCCTCGCCCCTCAGCCCCCTCCTGCCACCCCATCCCCTCACGGCTTCCCAGTGCCCCAGCTCTCTGAAGCACCCATCAGCAGCCCCTTGTCACAGGACCACCAAGCGCTGGCTAGGAAGGGACCCGCGGGGCTGGGTCACCAAACCTGTGGTGACAACTTGTGGAGCCATCAAGGCAGGTGGGCCCCAGACCTGCCGCACGCTGGGGAGCAGCGCAGCAGCATCACCACCACGCCAAGAGACTCCTGTGCAGACGGTGCAGCAGGAGGGTGCCGCAACCGTCCCACCGAGACAGGCTTATGCTGAGCATTGTCCAGCATCTCCTCCTACTTCTCTGTTGGCCATACTGGCCCCCAGTTAACTTCCCACTGATTCTGCTCCCCAAAGGGCATCCGTTCCCTACAGCCATTGATCACCACTTGGAAAGCCGTTTTGGTGTGTACCGGATCACTGCTTCCCTCGTCCCTTTCCATCGCACTCCAGTCTGCTCCCAGCTCTCCTGCCTGTGCGCTTCGCTCGCCCTCGGTTGCAACCTGGTCACCCCAGCTGACGTCAGGCTTTGAATTTAAGAATTCAAAGGGCTTTGAATTTAAGAAAGCAGTAACTGTGAGATGTTAACGTGGTGAAGGGACGAGGGGTGGTGTGTGTGTAAAATGCCCACCTTGTCGGTGCTGTGATGGTGTTATGTTTATTTTGGTGTGGTGAATTCTTTTTCTTTTTGAAGTAAATGAAGTTTGAGAAGGCTGTGATAATTGTAAAGTAAGAGGATATTGTGATTAATCTTAACTATGCTTTTAACAGAGGCGAGGGGTGGAATGTAGTGGGTTTACGTGGCAAGGTTTTGGTAGCAGGGGGCCATAGGGGTCGTTTCTGTGAGAAGGATCTAGAAGCTGCCCCATGTTCGGTAAGGGCCCCACTTCTGACCAGAGCCGAGCCAATAAGCGATGTTGTTTCGCGCCTCTGTGAGAGCATATTTAAGACAGGGAAAAAAACGCTGCGCCACACAGCAGCTGGGAGAGTGAGAGGAATGAGGAACAGCCTTGGTCAGTGAAGAAGGAGGGAGAGAGGTGCTCCAGGCGCCGGAGCAGAAGTCCCCTGCGGCCTGTGGTGAGGCCCATGGTGAAGCAGGATGTCCCCCTGCAGCCCATGGAGGTGACCACGGTGGAGCAGGTGGCCCTGCACCTGGTCAGGCCTCACCTGGAGTACTGTGTCCAGTTCTGGGCTCCCCGGTACAAGAAAGACAGGGATATCCCGGAAAGAGTCCATCGGAGGGCCACAAAGATGATCCAGGGCCTGGAGCATCTTCCCTATGAGGAAAGGCTGAGAGACCTGGGTCTGTTCAGCCTGGAGAAGAGAAGACTGAGAGGGGATCTCCTCGGTGTATATAAATATCTGAGGGGTGGGGGACGGAAGGACGTAGCCAACCTCTTCTCAGTGGTTTGTGGGGATAGGACAAGGGGCAATGGCTGCAAGTTAGAGCACAGGAAGTTGTGCACTGACATGTGAAAGAACTTCACGGTGAGGGTGACGGAGCACTGGGACAGGCTGCCTAGGGAGGTTGTGGAGTCTGCTTCTCTGGAGATATTCAAGGCCTGTCTGGACACCTACCTGGGCAGCCTGCTTTGAGGAACCTGCTTTGGCAGGGGGATTGGACCCGATGATCTTTCAAGGTCCCTTCCAACCCCTACAGTTCTGTGTTTCTGTGATTCTCAGTGCCCCAGCTCTCTGAAGCGCCCATCAGCAGCCCCTTGTCACAGGGCCACCAAGCGCTGGCTAGGAAGGGACCTGCGGGGCTGGGTCACCAAACTTGTGGTGACAATGTCAGAGTGCCAAGACCCATACACCTCTGTGTCTATATTTCCAGGGCATAAGGAACTGGACAGATGGTCAACAGCTACTGTGATGCCCATGTGGAGCCCAGTGGCAAGTGGTGTCCCCGAGGGGTCTGTACTGGGCCTGCTGTAATTAAACATCTCTGTCGGTGACACGGGCAGTGGGATTGAGCACGCCCTCAACAAGAGGGCAGACAACACCAAGCTGAGTGATGGTTGGACCAGATGGGCTTGGAGGTCTTTTCCAGCTTTCATGATTCTATGATTTGTGAGGGGTGCAACCCCCCTTTTTGCTGTCACTCAAGGAAATTGTTATTCTAGCGTGTTAGCCTTGCACTGGAGGCATAGTGGCTCTTTAGGAAGGACATGCTGGCAAGATGAGGAGGGGCTGTTGCCCTTCATGGGAGCGAGCAGCTGGAGATTGTGGAGCTCTGTCTGGAATGGCTGAGGAGCTGGCTGAGAGTTTACGGCTTACGATGAAAGGCAGGGGAGGGAAAGGTGACATTATATTTTTGCTGTTGAAAATTCCACTAACCTTGCATATTCAAAAGTGATTGCTCAGGCATAGCAGTGGCATAACAGTGGGGGATATGTTAAGCAGGTAAGGCGACAGTAGAAGGTCCCAAAATAAGGAGGAAGGCCAAGAAAAACAAGACAAACAGTGGTAGAATCAACAGAAACAAAAAACCACGGGTCCCTCCAGTTAAATAGAAAAAAAAAAAAAAAGAAAAAAAGGTGTGTAAGGGGGAAAAAGGAGAAATTAAAGTTTGGTTGGCTAAAATTGTACATACATGGTATAGTAACAAGTGTCAAGTAGGTTGTGAACCTGTGGTACTCAGCCAGCAAGGAAACAGGGTGACGCAGTGAAAACTCAATAACCAAAGTTATTAAGCAGGTGTTCTTTATTATGACACCGGGTGTTTGGGGGACCACATACCCCAAAGGACAGTGTGCTTATATTAGGATATATACATACTCATTTCCCAGAAGTTTCTTGCATAGTCATCAGGTCTCTGAAGAATCTTTAACATAGGTTCCCACCCCTCTTTGCATGTGTACTGGAGTCCTTGGGTGGTCATCCAGTGTACTCTGATGATCTTTTGATGAAGGCCAGAAGTCTTCCTTGCTGCTACATTCCTGACCCTTCCTTTCTTTGACAGACTTCAGCAGTCAAGCCAGTTCTTGATGGTTCTGTTATCTGCGTGCAGGAAGTCTTTTCTTCCCTTATCTTTTAGGGTTGTCCTGTCCTCATACTCCCTGCCTTGATCTTGTCCTTGTGGTTGATACACATCATACTCCCTGTGTTAGCTAAAACCTGCAAAATCGACATGCTTTCCCTTTCTCCCTGTCTCAATCTGAATGTGAGGGCACTTCTTTACTGTGAGGGTGACAGAGCACTGGAACAGACTGCCCAGAGGTTGTGGAGTCTCCTTCTCTGGAGATACCCAAATCTTTGGCCTCAGATGCCAAAGTTGCAGAAAGCAATAAGGTTATCTCTTGACCACCTTTTCTCCAAACCAGACAACCCAAGTGTCCTCGACCTCTCCTCACAGGACATGCCTTCCAGCCCCTTAGCCAGCTTTGTTCACCTCCTCTGGATGCTTTCAACTATCTTAATATCCTTTTTATATTGTGGATCCCATAGCTTCATAGTAATATTCAAGTTGGAGCTGCACCAACGCTAAATAAAGCAGGAGAATCACCTCTTTTGACCAGTTGGCTATGGGATGTTTAATGCACCCCAATACGCAGAAATGCCCATAGACTACAGGAATATCTGTGCATATGACAAAGGATGGGGAAGTGGCTGATGGAAACATCTTGCATACTGTAGGACCTGAGTATAATACAAATGGTATGTAGCAAGGGGTGGAGATTGTACTGTGTCTGGCTGGGATGGAGTAAATTCTCTTCACAGTAACCCACATGGTATTGTTTTAGATTTGTGACCAAAACAATATTGAAAACACACCCATGTTTTAGCTGTTGCTGAGCAGTGCTTGTACAACTTCAAGGCCTCTGTTTCTCACTCTGCCCCTCCTCAGGTAGGCTGGGGGTGCACAAGAAGCTGGGAGGAGACAAGGCCAGGGCGGCTGACCCAAAGTGACCAATGGTATATTCCACACCATCCAATGCCATCCTCAGCAAAAAAACAGGACTGGGGGGTGGGCTTTCCAAACGAGCCATTGCTTGGGGTCTGTCTGGCCTGTTGTGAGCAGTTTGCTGGATTTGGGGCCTGGTAGGGGGCTGCTGGTGAGTGACTGCTTTCACATCACCTGTTTTTTTTTATTTGTAATTTTTTCTCCTTCACTTTTTAAACTATCTGTATCTCGACCCACAAGGTTCATCACTTCTGCCCTTCCGGGAGAGATTCTCTTTCCCTCCTCTCTCAGCATGCTGTGACCAGCAGTGACACCTCACTGGGCTCAGGAAGCGAGTCAGCGTCCCACGGGCAGGAAGGGCAGCTCCCACATCCAGAGCTTCCCATTTCCATCACATACAGGAGGTGGCAGACGAACCCTGGGCACTCCTGCATCCTCTATATGGCGTTTCAGAAAATACCCAAATACAAAATTCATGCTTACCTCCCTTTCTCTTTGCAAAAGCTGCAATTTCAGAGGTCAAACCGGCAGCTTCAAAACATACCCCCCCCCCCTTCATTTCCTGGATAGCTTCTCAGGATGTCATCAAAACAACCATTTTAAGGATTTGCACAGTATTTTGTGACATTTCACCTATTTGTTGCTGCCACTGCTGGTATCAATATACAAAAATGATGAAACTTTGAAATTATGTAGCTCTTTGTATTTTTAAATCTCTGTACAAATGTTAAACAAAGGAAGTATGTGGAACTGTCATTTTTTGGAATAATCAGTTGATGGATTGTGCTTCAGCTGTACCAGAAGGATATGAACAAGTGTGCTGTACAGAAAGCAAGAAAGCAGATGTAAAATGAGGTTTCATCTTCAAAGTTGAGATTATGATTGGAGACAAGTGTTAAGGACTATATCTGACAGAGTTATTTAATATTCTTACACCAGTTAAGTAAAGCCTAATGGCTACTTTCTATCACACAGGAAGATAAGGGAAGAGTAACTGCTTAAAGCAAATAACATACACCAATATATACATATATATATATATATATATAAATATAGGCACAAATATATATTCAGACACACATGTGGACTTCAGTTTGTTAAAGACATCTCAGCCAAACTGCAACAAAAATGGTATTTGTATGGTAACACTGAACACATTAAAAACTTTTAAAAAAACCTGTAATGACTGACTATCAATCTTTCTCTCTGAAGAACAAAATTCTTCAAAAATGTTGTACCTGACGAGGCCAGCTGCTTTCTATACTGACCAAAACCACAGTTCTTAATTCCTCTTCTCTGGAATAACTAAAGAAAGTAGTAAGTCGCTATAATTAATTTCTGCACTTCGTGCAGAATTTTTTGCTGTTGGCACGTTTAACAGCCTGTGTATTAACAGGCAACAGTACAGACCTTTGACAGCAAAGGTTCTGGAAATCACTGTGATATTGACATGACGCCATGAGAAACTCAGACCCTATTTGCTCTCCATCAGCTTTGACAGATTCAGGATTTCAACCACTGCTATTTATTTATTTATTTATTTTTATAGCCCCTGTAGGTTTGCAATGTTCCTACAACATCTATGCAACAGTAAAAACAACAGTCTCACCTGCACTGTAACAGATCAGGCATATGATGCTAACGGATATACTTCAGAAAACCAGGCCTTCATTTTTATCCAGTTGGGTATTCTGAGCATAGGAACACCTGCCTAGTGATACAATACAACACGTCCTGCAGCTGTTGTGCTCAACCTACCTGCCCCAGAGACTCAAGCAACCTTCTTCCCTGGTGGTCAACTCAAAATCGCTTGCAAATGCTCTGACCTGTTTGTTTCTGTAAAGTAACAGCAGCAAACCCAATGCATTATAAAATCATCAGATCTATGGGGGCCCAACTGTGCTGGGATGGCTGCAGGCAAGTTGGTGGCCGGGAAAAACCTGTTGCTGAACAGATAATTCATTTTGGCCCATGCTCTCTCTCTGTTTCATCCAGAGGGCTATACAGCAGAGGGCAGCAGGAAGCAGAAATGAAACTGTGTGCACTGCTTACCCCCTCATCACGGGATCATCCTAGGATCATTTCTACTTTAGGAAGCAAACGCACCAATTTCTCCTCTTTTTTATTTATTTGCTTATTTTATTTGGGTAGACAGCATTCTTAGAAATCACAGGCCTGGACTGATGAAATAAAAATACCAGTGGGCCAGCTCCAAGTTCCTTGGATTTTCAGCTGTAAGGTATTTTAGATTTAAAGGACATACAGAGTAGTAACAGACAAAAATCTTCTGCTCCTGAGTTTTCTATGCAGTAACCATTCATTAAATGATTTCTCTAATATAAGGGAATATCAAAATTGTCAGCTGTACAGAAACCTCGTTGCTGTACATTCCTAAGTGCCACAAACACGATACAGGTATCATCACTACCTACATCACACAGGCAAATGTTTTGAGCATGAGAGCTATGGGACATCCACACAGTTAGAGAAGAACAGGTGCTAACAAAGTCCTACACACCCTAGCAGTAGGAAACAGTCTACAGTTATTATCATGTCCTGAGTACCACCATAACCATTATTTCAAGTGTTACCTTTAGGCCCAAATTTTCTTAAATGATCCAGCAGAATATATATATTTTAAACATCTATACTTAAAATGTCCTATTCTACTAACCTACAAACTTTATTATAGCTAGACTGTCATCTGGAGAAAAACACCTTAATGAAATTTCAAGTATTCTTCAATGTTAAATTTGTTACTGTTTATTTAAGTCCTCTGAAGATCCTGAGAGACAAACACTTACACTCACTCAAAAGTGAGAAGGAAAAAAAAACAAAAAACAAAAAAACAAAGCAGCTCCCAGAGTGGCACTGCAGACCTCTGCTTAGGCCAGCTCCCACCCACCCAGCCCACCCAACACAACAAAATTTGGCAGCTGCTGGAAGCTGAATTGTCTTATCTTTTGTGGTTCCTCAAAACGATACACATCACTCTTCTTTCATGCTCAGTGATGGTGACTTATGAAGAATACAGGAGCATCAGCAATCACAACTCCACCAGCACATGCCATAAGGGCACTGGGTGAAATGGGGACAGGACAGAGGCTGGGGCAGCGTGACAGGTCACATCCTTGATGGGGCTGAGGTCTTTCCTCACAACTTTCCACATATTAACTGCACAAAAAGGAACAAACAAATGAAGGAAGCCAAGCAGTATTTTATTGACTCCCACAAGACAGATATGGATTGCATACAACCCTGAAAAACTTTCTTTTTAAAATCCTGGAATTATAAACAAGAGAACTCATTCCTTATAAAGAACCTGACACCATTCCTTCATCAAAAGATTTTGGCATGGAACAGATTTCCTTTACAGTTTCATTTTAATCACTCATTTGAACAGCTTAAAAAACTATGTCTATAATAATACTTAAATATATTGCTTATATTCGTGACTTCATAAAAAAAATAGTTTGAGCTAATACTTTCCTATTCTTCAAAAAAACCCAAAGAGACATCAACTTTTCAATGAGTACTTCAGAAAGATGAGTAAAAATAATTTGCTTGAAATTATCAACAAACATTTATCAATAGACCAGGTCCCTTAGTGTGTATTTCACTTAGTAACATTAATAATCCCCAGAAAATGTACACGGTGCAACTAGCTTTCCCTTGATACTACATGGATGTATGCACATATTTATCTACAGCCACAACAGAATTTCTGCAACATTAATGAGACAGGACTGATCTCAAAGGTAAATGCCCAAGTGCTTCCAAAATCTGACCAAATACAAATAAATTACTTTTGGAATAAGTTGGTCTGAGTCTTACCAGAATCATGTCTGCAAAAAGTTAGTTTGTATTCAGAAACTGCTGCCCTTCTGCTCTGTGGGACTAGCACAGGTGTGACAACACTAATGGTTTTAATGCAGAAACAGACAGAACAGCTTAGAGTTGCCAACAAGGCTAAATTTACGCAGTCTGCCTAATATGGTTCATAACATTTGTTCCACTGGCATCTGGAAAAGGCAGTAACCTCTGGAAGCATCAGCCTTTTCTGAAGGGATCACTAGACCACTGTGATTTGCTTGCCTTCCTGCAGCAGCGCTCACTATTGTCCATAATACCATCAAAAGTTCACTGATTGTTTCTCAACGCATTACTTCCAGCCACTAGCCAAGAGGCTTAAACTAATGCACAAGTGATTATCAGGCCTGACCATTTTTTGAAGTTGAAAACAGGCTCCTACTCAAGCAGTAACAAAGCAGCACATCTCCTCAGCATTCATGATAGACCAGAATTGGTTTTATACCAAAGTCTCCAATGGGTGAAGTAGCTGCTAACCCCCAGGAGACACTTGGTCTGAGGTACTGTAACTTAAGTTACGACTGCATGAGACACAGGCTTTAGTCATGAAGCTGGCTGCAGGGATTCCTATGCTCCACTTCACTTCTTCCGCAGATGGGCCAGCGTGACTCAGAGCTGGATCTCTGACCCAATATGGGCCTAAAAATAAGTGTTAACTTGACTTCAAAGTATGGACCAGCCCACTGATCTGATGTCCAATGCAGCACAGGAAGGGGTGGTGATGTACAGCTGAGGGACAAGACCTATCAGCTGGAGCAATGTTGCTGAAACACATTTGGCTTGGGTATTGTGTCACAAAGTCCTGCGTCACAAAACATGACCTTCATTGTTTGCAAAAGGATGACATAGAATCCCCAAGGGGCCTTCCTGAAAGCACATAGAATACTTGAATAGGTACAAGCCACAGGATGTGTTTGGACACAGACTGTGGGAGCAGAGAAATGACAGCAGGCATTCTCTAATCCACTCCTAAACATCATGTACTAAAAAGTGTTTTTAAAAGTGCCTTCTATACACCAGTTAATTAAACAGATCTCAAAATATTTCCCTTCTATCTTACATTTTTACATAAAGCTGAAGTGTCTACATCTTTACGAAAAACATGTAATAGTCAAAGCAAACAAAAGCACATTTAAGAGTAACTTACCTAATTAGTTTCATGAGGACCATCACACATGAAAAGGCAAAAGGCAATGAAATTTCAAAGGGACACAACTTGAATGAAAGGAAATGTAACTCACAGGAAAGAAGTTTTAACAACTTTTTGTCCATACATGAGCTTTTCATTTCTTCTAGAAGAGAGCAATTAATACTTTGTGAGTGATTGTTTTTGGCAATTCAGGCTTAGTACTCTTAAAATGGAACAATTTTTCTTTTTCCTTTTTTTTTTTGAATAGACATGTTATAGTAGTGATCATATTATAATGAATTCCTGGGATATACAAATCACCTACTTCTAAACAGATTAAACAGATTTCTGCACATTATAGACTAAACCTCTTAACTGAGAAATAATTACTTTGTTGTTTCCAGTTTACAAGGGTAAAAAAAAAAAAATAGACTTCACAATGTGTGTAAATGGAAGGTAAATGTATTTTTAAAAACAGAATAAAAAGCTGCATGTTAAAAACTGGATCACAGACTAATAAATACATACATCAAAGACATTAAATTTTCAGCAGCTGGTTTTAAAGAGCAAGGAAGTGGGGAAAAACTAGCTGTCCAGACTTCATTCTGGCTTTATGGTCTATATGCAGTTCAAAAACAAGTTAGCAGAAGAGTAGTGTCACCTAATTTCTTTTAAAAAAATTAAGCTACTTCCTAAAAGTGTGGTGTAAAATCCAAAGAAACTAACTTCTTCATGCACTTGATGACATTGAATTAAAAAAAGTATTTTAACCCAGAAAAAATGAGTCATTGTATACTGTAAGGAGAGCCTTACTGCAAATTTTCTACAGTAAAAGTATTTCCAGAAATACACCAGAAATGACTTTCCCATAATAAAATGCACAATTATGTATCAGATAATCACTGAGTTTCAATACTTAGGCAAAATAAAAACAGCTACCATCAAGTTTCCTAAAAAATGGGGAAAAACAAACAAACTCCAAACAGTAAAAAGATGTTTTAACAGCTGTGGAGATGCCAGAAAGCAATGCTGGACACCAGGATTTCCAGAGCAACTCCCTTTCCAAAGTGATGTGCAGTCTGTGAATCAGACAGTGAGAGAAAACTGATCCTGTTCTATGGGTTTCTCCACCCAGGCTCCAAGTCCTGCCTTCAGGAATGCTTTAAACAAACGCTCTTTGGCAGTTTGATACTCAGTGGCTCCTTGCTTGGTTTCATGGTACAAGTTAGGCTTGAGAATCTTTGAGCGCAAGCTGGAGGAAAGCTGTGCAGATTAAAAAGACAAGAAGAGAGAAAATGATCTATTCAACCAAACAGTTTAAGAGTAACTGAGTTATTAAAACAGCTATTATTAAACAAGGTAACAAAGTACTAAACCAAATGTACAGGCAAAGGCAGATGAGCTTAAAAAAACATGATTATGCTTCTCCTTCCAGCCATCATAACTGTGTCTAGCCTCATCACACCTAACTGCATCTTCAGTTCTCTGGGCAAAGGGAAAAAGTGCAGTACCACATCCAGAGAGGGGCACTCTGGACTTCACTTTTCAGTATTGCTGTGGTAGTTTCACCATAGCGAGGACGCCTTTTGCTTCTTCCGGATTATCAACATCCTTTAGCAGAGGAAGCCTAGACGCTGAAAAGGCTTTAATGGATACTTTCTTGTGTCTTTTCTTCCTAAGACAGGACAGCCTGAAATCTAAGTAGGTTTGATTTCAGTGAAACTGGGATTGTATTTCCAAACAAATTAAAATGAGTTCAAAGGAGTTAGCACCCTTTGTTTTTACTTCACTATAAGAGAAGATTATCAGACCCTTGCATGCGTTTTGTACCAGGTATTATAAGACAAAAAAAATATTATCTAAATAAATGTGTTGTTTTCCATTACTACATAGGCTGGTAGCTAATGGCGGTTTTAAGCTTAGTTTAAGACAGGCTCATGAAGTGGTTTCTAAATACAGAAAGTAGCACATGAATACACCATTTAGAAGTGAAAAATCTTGCACTTTAGTATATGTACCTTTGCATGAATACGCATCCAGCGGCTGTACAAAGCATGTTTACAAAGGCGAGATGCACGACCCATTTCATCTTTGCCAGTTGTAGCATTAATAACTTCAAGACAAGTGTCTCCTACTGTCCAGTTTACACTGAAGTTTGGTGCTTTCCCTGGTTGGCGTGCTTCTGCGTTGCTAATACCTGAAAGAAGAGAGATATTTAATGACAACAATAAATACTGACTCTTGATGATTATTCTTATTGGGTAGTAAGAATATACCAGATATACTAGAGCTACTGAAATCACATCGCTAGGCATTCTTACAAGTGATTCTTCTACTATAAGAACATTCTCCTGCAGATTTTTCACTGAATCATGGAGATACTGCCACACGTATTTCATTTTCATTGTGGCTAAAAATGGCCTTTCACTGCCATTCCTAGCTGGGCAAGTGTACATCACTGGAGCTGTGAGAAACCAGCTTCCTCAGTGGAGGAGGCTGTGCAGAGAGGTCTGTGACTCAGCTCCATGTGGACAGTGATACTAGCACCTTACTGCACTGTCCTGGTTTTGGGTGGGATAGAGTTAATTTTCTACACAATACCTGGCATGGTGCTGCATTTGGGATTCAGGATGAAGATAACACTGATAACACACCAATGTTGTCAGCTGTTGCTGAGCAGTGCTTACACAGAGTCAAGGTTTTGGAATTCACCCCTGAACAAATGCAGAATCCAGAAAGCTAACCGAGTGTTTTAAACTGCTCCAGTGTCCAGTAGGCAGTTTTCCAGACAGAGTAGATAGGATGATCTTACTTCTGACCTTAATGACGGGATGTCTGATTCACGTTTACACAAAGCAAGTAACAAATTCAAACACAATGACCAGGAATAGAGGGGCCCTGCCTCTAATTGTCTAAGTTAGGCAGAGTGAGCCCCAACATCAACATCCTGTGCAGAAAGCCAAGAACAACGGACAATTGAGTCTTTCAGCATAAATTTGGTTGTGATTCAGCTGCCTCCCCATTTTACGTGCTCATTGCTACTTAATACACCCAGACATGGTGATCTGCAGGGCTCAAGTGATAAGGGAGACCTCAGATCATTTTGCTCAGATGTTAGGTTTTGCAACATCTGTCAAAGATGGCTTTCTGGAAGCCTAACCTAAGTGTGAAGAGAGGCTGGCAACCAGCCCAGGCTGCCAAAGGCAGGATTTATTCCCCCTACAGCAGCCCAATGCTGCAGAAATGCACCATATATATTACCACTGTACTGTGCTTAAAGAGTATGACAGCCACTGCAATACATACACAACCCACCTCCCAGACACGTATCATGACCACTCCAGCACTCCCCCCAGTGCTCTCATGCAGCAGCCAGGGGCATCAGCACAGCAAGTGGTTTGGGCTGTGCACTACAGAAATGCTGTGCAGTGTGGTGGCTTTGATCCAGCAGACCTCACAGCCATTACAGGGGTGGCAAAACTTAGGATGTCTCATCAGAGGAGAACAAACACGTGTGTTTGTGTGTTTGTTTGTTTGTTTTTTCCTTTCTAATAAAGGTCCCATTTTTACTCTGACACAAGCCTACTCCAATTGTACTCTGAGATCTCAGTTTCTGCTAGGTTTTACACCTAATAAGATCTAGTAAATTTGTATGAATTCAATGTAAGTATTGCAGCAAGATGCATTTCTTGCTGATATTTGAAATACAACTTAACAAACAAATTAAACCAACCTAAGAGGCAGATGAACATAGGACTTGCTCACTTGGCCCTGGTCTTACAACACCCACTTGCGGGGTGCAGAGATGAGCATGCGTAAAAGCTACAAGGTCTTAGATCTTGAATGACATGGCAAAATTCAGTTTGTTTACTATAACCAATTCCTCATTTACTAATTAAACATTTTTAAGTATCAATCATATTGAATTTCCAGATGTCACATTTTTATGCTTGGCTTATGTCACCCTCATCGCTATGACTGATTACCTGTAAATCATGAGTAAATAATAAGCAACAGTGTCACCATTCCACATTCTTTTAAAATATAAAACTAAAAAAATAAAATTGGAATGAAAAATTCCTAAAGAGTTATTCTCTGATTTCTTTTAGGAAAGATTGTCAAAACTTCTGCTGTCTTTCTGAGTGGCTGGCAATTAATTCATGCATCATGTCCTGAAAACTGCAGATGATACCTTTAATGATGATTTGGATGAGGGAATTGAGTGCACCCTCAGCAAGTTTGCAGAGGACACCAAGCTGGGGGGAAGTGTCGATCTGACGGAGGGTAGGAAGGCCCCGCAGAAGGACGTGGACAGGATGGGTCAATGGGGTGAAGTTCAACATGGCTGAGTGCCAAGTCCTGCACTTTGTCCACAACAACCCCATGCAGCGCTACAGGCTTGGGGCAGAGCGGCTCAAAAGCTGTGCAGAGGAAAAGGACCTGGGGGTGCTGATTGATGCTCACCTGAACATGAGCCGGCAATGTGATTAGGATGATGGTTGGACCAGATGATCTTGGAGTTGTTTTCCAACCTTAATGATTCTATGATTATGCACAACACAGCTCATCCTGCACCATTAAAGTCCAAATGCTGGATAGCAAACAAACCCTGCCACAGAGTGGCACCCAACAGGTGCCTAAAGACCTATCAACTGTAGGTATACACAAAAGGAATCTCAACTCTGACTCTCCATAAACATATAAATTCAATTTTTTTTTGTGAAGCTTATGTGAAACATACCATTTACTTAATATAGCATACTGGTGAACTTGTTAATCTAAAAACTGTTTATCAAAACTACTGAGGCAAAAGGGCTAAAAAATTGCCACCTCATGACACATAGGTCAGTCTGTCATATTTTTTATTTATCTTAAAAATATCTGTACCTTTGCTTGTTTCATATCCTACTGACCAAGTACAGTGATCTGATATGGTTCTAGTATTGCAAAAAGATGTCTTGCCCCTTTTCTTGTTAGTATGAAAGAGCACTCTATTTAAGAAGAATAAAATAAGAAAAATCTGTTGCCTAATATTTTTCCTCTAGTGAATGACTCCCTCCCCAGACCAATATATCTAGGCTGTGTACAACTCTTGCAGCAAATACTGGATATAAATTACACTTCTCTACCAGCTTACTCATGTTCTTTCCACACTCACACAGCAGAGGCTGTTCACTGAGGGGGTGGCTGGGCACTGAAACCAGCTCTCCAAGGCAGCGGTCACAGCACTGAGCCTGCTGGATGGAGTTTGAGAAGTGCTTGGACAAAGCTTTCAGACATCGGGCCTGATTTCAAGGAAGTCTTGTGTGGAGCCAGGAGCTTGGACTTGATGATCCTTGCTCCTTCCAATTTTAGATGTTCTATTTAAGAAACATGCTGCAAACTAACTTCAATGGTCATTAAATTTAATAATGGTACTGTAAGCAAGGGAAAGACTTCTAGATGAAGATATAAATACAACTTTCTCTTATGTGTACAGGTACCAGCAATAGTAATCTTGAAGGTCTTTTTCTTAAAATGTGTATAGGAACCAGCAATGATAATCTTGAAGGTCTTTTCTAAACTAAATGGTTCTATAATTTTGAATATTAAGTTCTATCAAAAGATCAGGTCGATGATCAACAGTAATAAATGGAGCAAAGTGAATACAAGAAATTATTACTGAAGGAATACAGAACAAAATAAAGTACCGTATAAATAATTACTGCTACCTTACCTTGAGTATCATGTGCTGCTCTGGTTTTGCCAGCCCAAAAATGGAAGAGAAGACCCATGCATGGAATATTTTCCGTACAAGAAAAAACAAATTGCACTAAGACTTTCTAGTCTGGAAAAGATAGGACTTAGTGGGAATACCACAGTGGTATAGAGATCTGAGCACCAAGACAAAGGTGACATGGAACAACTGCTACCTGTATGGTACATGGTGTATCTGTATCATACAGAGCACTAAAGAACATTGAATTAAATTAGCAAAAAGTAAACGCTATTGCAAAAGTCTTTAAATACACTATGGCCCTCCTTACTAAAGATGGTTGTGGAAACTAAGAAGTTTACAGCAATTCATAAAGCTGGAACAGGAATTCATGAATAAAAAAAAAATCTATTAAGGATTCTTAAAAACAAAGACTAGCTCAGGAAGTTTCCAATTCACAGATTACTGATGCAATTCTCAGGAGATATCTGCAGAGGCATACCATTTTCCTCTGTTTTATCACTGCATACCTGCCTGTGGGAGAAGAATGCTGGGCTAGATTAACCTTACCTTAACATCTTAGTCTTACTTAAGACAGCTCTTATGCTGGTGACAAGATAATCAGTAGATGTGACACTGCTCCTGGATTTTTATCCAAGAAATGAAACAGAGGAAATACCTGTCAACCATACCATAAGAACAAGTCAAAAAACACCAACAACTTCATTTCTGACAATGTTCTGCTAAATGGAAAACTTTGGCTGAAATAATATAATCACAGCTAAGAAAAAATGGATTATCCAGAAAAACCAGGCACAAGGGCAGTGTTCATTGTTGACTTTAGTAGATATTGCTGACAGGAGAGCATGAAGGACGGCTGGGCATACCCTGCCATTTGCTTTAAAAACATTACCCTAGCAGGTGCCATTAGCCCAGGTCCCTGAAGCTGAGATATATAAGCACATGAGCTCCACAGACAGGAAACATAAACATGGACAACCTGATGAAATTATTTTCACACAAGTTGCCTCCAGTGAAAAGGAGCTTGCTTTTTATATGTGCAATAGACTTCCTTTTACATTTAATGATCACTTCTCTCAAGGATATTCAAGGTCAGATTCTCTACTTGGAGCATTTGCTTTGTTGCTCTACTCCTGCGCCAAGTTAACTTCTTTGTGTCTATCTCCAAAAAGTGGTTCCAAAAAGCCTTAGCATATTAACCTGCAGACTGGTACCTTTTTTTATTGGCAGATTTATATGATCACCCTCATTTGATTTGAATGAGGAATTGTGCCCTTTTCAGGTTATTCAGAAATTCACAAGATTTTAACCTGTCATCATCTCACTGAGAAATGACCAGTTCTCAGTGAGAGCTCACATGCCCTCTGTGCTGTGGTGCTAAAGGCATCCTGAAAGGCTGGGTACTGCAACCAAGGTTCCCAAGAGTTGATACAGGGAAAGAACTTTCTACAAACATAAGGGTTTCCCACACCCCTAGCTGAAAAACAGCTGCTCCGATACACATGCTGTCACTTAACTTGCTGGGAAAGGGATGTATAAGTAGAAAGTCTCCTATGAAGAAAGAAAGAACATTCGATGAAAATACAATTTTCACCAATAGAGTAGATAAAAATAGCTCAGTCCGGCTTCATCTTAATGCAATTGGCCCTGGAGACATAAAAGTTGTTTTATGAACAGCTTTTATAGCGTTTTCTCAGCTAAATAGGTGAGAAACAGTGGGGAAAGACAGAATACCGTAACTGAGCAACTATTTCTATTTCAGTTCATTCCTCTGTTAGAAATGAGAAACAATAGCACAATTGTGTGTGTGGTATAAGGGGGAACTCAGAACTGGGGAGAGCTGTTCCTGCGGCGTGTACTGCAGATAAGAATACGGTGTCAAGTGAATCAAAGAGTCGACGTGTAGCTACATGTCTGTCCCAGCTGAATCCAACGGTGTGGATCAGAGAAGCAGCTTTCAAGACTAATCCATTTGAAGGAAATTCATCACGGTAATTCTCCTCTGTCCTTCATCTCAAACAACCTTCGTGTACATTTTGAGACATGCATTTTCATAAAAACTCAACAGCTGAGAACATTTCTGAACACTCTTTACTGATCAGTGATTTCTGGATGAACTGTTTAAACAGATGGTACTATTTCATGGCAAATAGATGGTAACAGTATTTCAGGAAGATGATTTTTAAGAAGCCAAGGTGCTATTATATGTTGTGAAAAGAACAACAGAAGCTCCTCCCACCATGCTGTCTTGAAGAGTTTATAAAAATTCCCAGAAATCAGGCAGCAACAGTCCATACATCAGCTACTAACCCAATACAACAATCATATATTAGGTACTGTGAGTGTTGGCACTATTACTTATTTGCTACTATAAGGATGATTATGTCACAATACTTCAGTACATCCTAGTTCACGGAATCCTTATTAATTATCTTTCTTTAAAAATAATAATTAAAAAAAGATGGTTGTTTGATATGCCTTCTTTCCCCCCCCCACTCTCAATATTTATTTTTAGCATTCACGTTAAGCTTTAAACATGCTTTAAAATACTGATTTCCCCCTCACTCCCGCCCGGAAAATAAACAGGCATGCCAAAGCCAAGCTCTACAGAACAAAGCAATGCACACAATGATAGGTAATATAAGAGATTTCAGTTTTAAAGCTTTTACAACACTACTGTAACTAGCAGTTTTAGAAATTTTTAAGATACTTCAGAACTTTCTTTTTAAGTCATGGCTCAATTTATGTTACAACCTGTTAATTCAAATAGTGCCAGTCCTTTTGGCCCCTTGAGTCTAGGATCAATGCAATGCTAAAGAACAACAATTAAAAATCTCAACAGCAGCTGCTAATTACTTGCTAGGGCTTACTGCATTGCTGTCTGTCAGCTAATACTTAATGTTATATTAAAAATATTTCCGAGGGAAATGTCACCAGAATTTGGATAAAGCATTTGTGCATTAACACAACGCACAATGTGGAAGTGAAAATACTGTGATAATTGAGACATGCAAACAATTTAGGTGCCATGCTAATAAAAGCTAATGCTGCATCCAACAGAACGATGACAAAAGAAAACACAACCGATAGCATCTGAGACATTCTTTCCATCCATTTTTAGCTGGTTACTGGTCCAGAGATTGTGAGCCAAACACATGTATTTTGTCACGCTGATAAATGATGCAGCAATTCAATAAATATCTGCAAGGGCCGGAGAAGTGATAGTGAGAGCTAACACGCTATCCCATGGATGATAAGAGGTTTCACTAAACCTTCAACTTGCCTCACATATTGCTAAGGTACACTCTAGACAGCAATTACATGAAACTGCATCCAGTTCATACCCCAGCTCTTTTTGGCACCCTTTAACTAATGAAAGGTTCTTGATAGATATTTCTGTCTAAATAACTATATTAGGCTTAGCCAGTATCTTCTGTGTTGTAACCAGAAAGCAATTTACTCACAGTACATAATTTGCAAGGTTTTGAGAACTGCAAAATCACATTGCTACTGGAACAGACTTAGTTACCGGTACAGCCTTCTCCATTAGATACTTGCCACTAAGTAAAGGTCTGTTGAGTGTATAAAGAGGTGGTAGATCTTCTATCTCTGCTATCCTCTGGTATACGGCTCTGGATAGATGATCCCCATGATATAAACTCCCCAAGATGATGCTAGAGAAGTAAATTGGCTCCACAAAGAGGCTAAGTAAGGCTCCTTGAATACCCAATACGTTCCACCTAAGAGGGAGGGAAAAACAAAACAAAACAAAACAAAAAAAACAAAAAAAACTTTCTTTTTAATGGAACAAGTAACATCTGCCAGACATAATAGCAGTTAATCACAATGGACCAGACGTTCAACCTTTCCTTTCTTGAGCAGAACATGGCTATGGTAACATAGCTGTGACACCTGCTGGAATTTCAGAGACTGGTTTATGGGATGCTCAGCAAAATCCTGAGCTAGGCAACCAAGAGGTCTACTGTCAGCATCCACTTCAGGAGCAGATTCCATAACCTCACTTCCCTTCTACTGTGCCTGGTGATACATTTTGCAGTGCCCTAATGTCAGAGATGGACGAGATCATTCAATCAGAAGAAGCCAAACTGTGAGATCCTTAATCAGAAACAGTAGCTGATGCCTCCAAAATACATGTGGCAGTGGGCAAACCATCATCCTGACAACACAGGGATTGTGTCTGCAAGACCTCAGTACCTCGTCATCTTCATAGAAAGTTTGTTCTTTACACCTTAACCAAACTGTCCACATCCTGCTGTCAGAAAGGATATTTGTAGTTGCCTACAATATTCACGGGCAGGGGAAAATAATCTCCAGGTACTCTCTGCTTACTTTAGCTGCTTCACAGATTCCAACTGTAAATCCCTGTCTGTACCATTGTGACCCACAGTCAAACAGGTCCAGTAGCAGGAATCTAGCATGCACAGGAGCAAAATACTGAAGAGATTTTCTATCTGTGTTCGCTTACTCAAGTTTTGGCTCTCAATCTATATGTGACAATCATATGAAACCCATATGGAACACCTTTTAAAATCTCAAAGTCTCCTGTAGAGTATTTCCACTAACCTCTTTTCTGAGGTATACTTGCAAACAATTTGTCACTATTAAAATAGTGTATCTGAGTACAACTGCAACATCCAGACTGGGTACCCAAGCAGAAGGAAAATTTATTTTGGTACTTGAATAAAAATAAAAAATAACACAATGGAAGCTGTTGTGCTCATATGAAATGGCTGTCCTTACTTATATGAGATGCAAGGATCCCCTAAGAAATGAGGGAGCTCAGATTGTGTTAAAGGTGTTTCTTGCACCTTGTGCTGGGATGGCATGGCTGTATATCATCAGTTCAGGCTACAAATTGTATAGTACAACTGCTGCACTACTGTGAAAAACTGAACTATATGCTTTGGCTACAAGTCTCACAAAATTGTGAAGAAAGGGTAAAGCAAAAATTGCAGTCCGAGGAAACAATTTATTTGCATATCTTTACTGAGGGTAAAAATTGAGGCAGTATGGATTAGCTTACTCACCTGTCATTAAAAAAGCTGGCCCTAATGTAGGAGTAAAAACACTCCACTAATAAAAAGTAAGGTATCTGTTACATTATATAATGGCCTATTTTGTATGACAGTGAAAATTCAATGAACAGCCAAACATAAGGTTAAAGGTATCAAGTGAAAATTATTGCCTCCCTGTACCGAGATGACTTTCTAAGGACTTTGCCTTGACTAGAATTTTGTAAGCACAGAGGTACATTAATTGCGAAATAGATCACAGTAGTGTTTTCTTGTTATTTGCAGTATTACCTACATGCAGGATAGAGAAGGATATGGACTACTACAGACAGGTAATATTATGGAAGAAGCATTTGGGAAGAATCCAAGAGTAATCATAGCAAATTGGGTTCTTACAATGGTATCCGAAACTTACAGACACAAATTAAGCTTCCTTAGCTTAGGCACATTACATCTTATTTTTCTTCAATAGTACTTGAGTGATGGATGGAAATTTTTAAAAAAGCCAGAGTGTTCCTCTGGCAAGCCATGGCTCCCTAAATAAAACTTTTGCCAGACCCCGTTCTTCCTTGTTTCCATCTTCATTACTTCTAGAGCTTGTGTTTTGCTGCTTCTTCCCCACCTCCCACACTTGGTGACCTTCGCTGGCAAAGAAAGTTAAAGCTGAAGTTTGTCTTTTAATTGAAATGAGGAGTTTAGACAATTGAACAAACTTCTGCAAGGTGGAACACACGAACCTGTATTACAGTTAATTCCTATTCTGTAATAACTGCACATGCCTGCTGGTTTTGCTGGGGTGGGCTGTATCACTGTGAGCAACACATTCAGAGCAGCTGTAAATACAAGGTGTGTAGAAACCATTCATACACACAAAGCCTCAGCCTCATAAAGTTGATCAGGCAGGGTTGGATAGTGATTAGGCTTATAAAATTGCCTTTAAATTTCAAGTGTTACAATAAAAGATATAATTATCCATAGAAATAAATAACCGTTTCAGAAACTGGCAGTGAGTCAGAGATAAACATGAAACCCAAATGAAGTCCTGTTGATTGTAACTGAGGCAAAAAGGATTATGCAGAGACTTTCTTACTTTTTCCTATTCATACTGTACTTCTTTCTAGCTAACACTAATTTCTCACTCCCATTAGCACATGCAGCAAAAACAACCTCTACAGATATAAACTGAGAAGTAGCTATACCAATAATATGCATCAATTTTCAAAAAGACACAAGCCTTTTGAAACCCGAAATGGTAAAACTGTCTCTTCCTGCCAATTTACAAGCATGACATGTCAGAATGTTTGTCAATGAAAGCTGTCAATTTAGCACTAGAATTTACTGAAACTTATTTTGAAGTTAATGGGCCAAATCTGTATAGGTTCATTACAAACCATAAGATGCAGAGCTGAGAGTGAAAAATTTATCAAAGAAAATGTTAATAAATTCAGGATAGAATTATAGAATGGTTTGGGTTGGAAGGGACCTTAAACTCCATCCAGTTCCAACTTCCCTGCCATTTGAGCCAGGTGGCTCAAAGCCCCATCCAGCCTGGCCTTGGGCACTTCCAGGTACAGGGCATCCACAGCTTCTCTGGGAAGCCTGTTCCAGTGCCTCACCACCCTCAGAGTGAAGAATTTCTTCCAGATAGCTGACCTAAACCTACCCTCTTCTGGTTTACAGCCATTACTTCTTGTCCTATCACTACATTCCCTGACAAAAAGTCCCTCTCCAGCTTTCCTGTATTGCCTTTTCCACCAAGCCAGTGAAACACCTAACAAAATGTTTGTTTGTTTTTTTCTTCATGTATATACAAATTAGTATGAGAAAAGGGTGAAGTAACCAATACCACGTAAATCTAGTTTGCAAATCCAAACCTTCCAATGCTCACATCGGTTTTATAACACAGAAACAAACCTTTCTGCTGCAATGCATGCTGCAGCAGAGTGGACGCAGACCCTGGCCATGGCACAGTGCTCAGGTAGGAACATTTGATGGCTCTAGAATGTGATAATGGAAAAAATATCTCCAGTATATTCTTGGAGTATAAAATACTCCATAAGTATTTTCTTGTATTAAAAAAAACATTGTTTTCTAGTATTTGTTTTGCATAAAAATTTTCAGTGATCTGAAAAATTTCAGGTTTCAGAATCAAAAATTACAGCAATTAGAAAATGCTGCTGAGTTGTCCCCTTGGGAGCACTGCTCAGGCTACTTTGTGTCCCCACTTTGCTTTACAGCTTAGAATCCCCCAGGCACATTTAGGAAAAATAAGACCAAAAGACCAAATGTTTGCTGTCATCGAGATTTTGTCATGTCTTCTACCTCATCTAAGAAGTAACACTGAACCCAGGCATTCACAGTTTCAACATCTCACCTTCTTCACAGACTAGATCCCAACAACAGCTCTGTAGATCCAAACATTTCCAATCCAAGTCTCAGTCTCCTATAGTAGCTCCTACACAACAGCAAACATCTGCCTGTTCCCACAAACACAGGTGGAACGGGCTGCCCAGGGAGGTGGTGGAGTCACCATCCCTGGAAGTCTTCAAAAGACGTTTAGATGTAGAGCTTAGGGATATGGTTTAGTGGGGACTGTTAGTGTTAGGTTAGAGGTTGGACTCGATGATCTTGAGGTCTCTTCCAACCTAGAAATTCTGTGATTCTGTGATTCTGTGATTCTGTGGATTCACATCCTGCCTCATTTGCACTGAAGTATCCATAAATACATATGCAACTTTTGGTCAATGAAGTTGCAAATGAATAGTGGTCAGCTCCTGACTACTTACTCTCTGGGTAGTGTGCTCACCTGAGAGCTACAACCAGGGTTTTTTAGCTGAGCATCACCTTGGGGGAAATGTGATTTTACAAAATTATCATACTCATTGGTTTTCCTGTTCTATATTCACCATTTAGATGCTTCTAGATGCTTAGATGCTGCAGAATGAACGGGAAGAGATGATATTAATTAATCTAAACATGACCTCCTTTCTGCCATGTTCAAATCTGATTTCTCTTTGCTTTCCTAAGAGGTTAACTGAATCTCCACGATCAGTGCCTCCTTTTCAAAGCAGACACAGGAAGCAACATCGTCACATGAAGCAGTCGGTCTTTTACCTCAAGTGGCTCAGTCAGTGCCCCACACTGACGCAAGTCACTAAGCACAAGTCTACGATCTTTTACAGCAGCACTTCTCACAAACTTCTTCTTACTTATCTTGAGGTCAGACTTTCAATTACAGACAAGAGGATTTGTTTTCCCTTGTAGCTGAACCTAGGTTGTCAAATGCACAGCTCTGATTTGTCCCAGCTTTCCCAGTGTTACACGGATCTGGGGCATACTGGTGAGCCTGGGCCAAGACTCAAGTCACTGGTTTGAGTGGTTACGTGACGCTGGGTAGTGGTTTCCTGCTACTTTACCCAAGGTTTTTCACCTAGGCATCACACAGCCTTCACGTACCAAAATTAAGGCATTCTAATCTGTCACTTGGACTAAGAAGTGTTCAGAATAAATGTTCTTCCTATTGCTGATCAGAAATCACACCAGCTCTGTCATGGAGACTTCCATTAGAAAATGATTCTCAAATTTGAAAAAAGCTCAATAGGCACAAACAGAACATACATACAGCCTTTAGGGAGCACACATAGGATTTTAAGTTCTTTTTGTGCAACCTCATCAGTCCAAGAAATCTGGATGGTGGGGTCAAGAAGGAAAAGCCATCAGGGAAATAAACAGTAAGACAGTTATAAACTTCCATTTGGATATCTCACTCTAAATACTGCAAAACAAGGTCAGTACATAGGCACATGACGTTATTTCACACCAAAGATTATCAGAAGTAACATTCTTTAGAGCAGAACAGCACCAATAATTTCTCCTTAATCAACAGGACCACTTCTTAATTAAATCACTTCTCAAATTCTAGAGGCTTCCTAGCTAGGAAACAGGGTGAGAAAACATTTCATTCTGCTTAGCAAGACAGCAAACCTCAACTGAAATGTTTTGTGAGAAATTAAGTAACTATTCAAAGCTGAACAACTTGAAATGAATGTGGGGGGAAAAACATACCAAACAGAGAATGACAAAAATATGCATAATAAAGCACCATGGATATAATAAAGCCTAGGATACATTTAAAGCAAATGCATGTGTATTAATGTTCCCAAAAAAAGGTATTGTCATAGAATAACACCACCCTGAAACATCACCATGAACTAACAACTAGGACAATCCTGTTCTAATGCTTCTGATCCAAGTGGAATTACATTCAATTTTACCTATGCAGGCCTTTTGCTATTTCTCATTTTTCTCCCGGTGACATCAGTGCAAGTTAGATTCTGGCACCCCTCATTTCCTTCCTACCTAAAGCACAGCTCTCATACCCCTTGACTTTTTCTCTTTTTTTCCCCCGTCTCTTCCAGCACAAGCAGAAGGAGGTCATTTAGGGGTGCTGAGTATCTGCCTCCAACTAAGCTGGAGAAGAAGAGGTGAGCTGAGCTGTCTGGAGGGAAGCAGAAGACCTGTGTTGTTCCACAGCCAAAGCCTGTTTCACACGTCCTATCTCAGCCTGTGGCACGATTCAAACCTTGGCTTAGCATGGCCAAGTCTGCCAATGTACAATCAGCACCTGAAGTCAGCCCAAGGAGTTCCATCCACTCTTGCATTAGAGCTCACCCGTTACTAATGGTGAGCTTGGCCCATCACTGTAATGAGCAGCTGTAACTGTAGACCATCTACTTTTTAGCATTTTTTTTTCCAGAAAAAGAGAAGTTTAACAGAAGTTTTACAAGTTTCTTGGGTGTTCCTACCAGGCTCAGGAGGGTGCTAGGCAGCACACTGCAACAAAGCACTTAGAGGCTGAAAGTCACAGCTTGGGTTATACATATAATCCACGCAGATATGGCTGTTCAGGTACAAAGAGTTTTTCTGCTCTGGATTGCACGTGCAATCCTGCATACTTTATTCACCCATGTGTTTTCCACGCTGGTACCGTGAACCTTTTGGAAAGCTCAGTGCAAGTGCACAGGGCAAGGGCATTCTGGAGCACTGACTGTTGGAAACTACATAGCAATGCATTCTTTCAGATTTAAATGGACAAAACATGGTCATAATGTCAGGGAAATGTTAAAAAAAAAAAAAAAGAAAAAAAGAAAAAAAAGAAAAGAAAAAAAGAATATGAAAATTTGGGCCTCCTTACCCGTCATACAGTCTTTGTTCTGTGTCAAGGGGTTCTATTTGCTTCCTTCACTGGCACAAACAAAATTATTCCCATTAGCCCCAAGGAGAGGTGACAGCTAGCTACGCAAGCGAGAGATGGATTCTGTTCTGCATCACACAAAATCAACAAAATAGTCAAATGTGTTCTAGCTCAATAACTGTCTTCAAGTTTTATTTTCACTAACAGCAATGATGATGTGATAAAAGAAGTCAAATGAATGCAGCATGAATACCACATTGGATGGTTAGGAGAAGTTACTGACATGAAGCTGGGAAATCTATTTGATGAACTATTGAAAATATTATTTTAAAACTTCAATGTCATTTTTTTAAAATTGCCTTTCAACAACCCAACATAGTGGTTTCTGAGCGGCCCTATCTATTTGTGTTAGAAGGATTTAAACTCAAGTGCCTTCCTTCAGTAAAGATGCTGATTACTTGAGACAAGACTAGAGGAAAGAAGCAATCACCTAACATTCATCCTGTATGTTTTGATTTGGTGTACACAGTTCACAATTACATTTCCACTTACTTTCTTTGTTAAAATAGACTTAATAAATTCTGAATCAGACTAAGTGTGACTTGACAGCCCAGCACATTTTTTTTAAATTAAAAAATAATTAATTAAAATATCAGGTGAAAAACTTGGCATTTCTCATCTATTTCACGAGAACAAAGAGGCTGCAATCAGACAGGCTCATTTCAAATAATACTACCATCTTTCAGCAACTCTCCCAGACCTCTGGTACTTTTTAAAGGTTACTGCTGCTAAACTGGGGGTGTGGTGGGGGGTGTCATCTGTCTGTCCACAGTTTTCAAAAATCTTTATCTTTGTCTGTCAATAATGACAACAAAGAATAAGAATATATTGGATAAAGTATAAATAAAAGTACTAGTACTGGAACCAAAATATTTATTTACAGTAAAAATATTAAAACTAACATTAAAATAATTTTGAAGCTAGAAATTAAAAATGACTATCAATGAACATGTTTTTAACTAGAATACTTTTTCCCTGCATAAAATAACAAAAATCTAAATTTATCCATGGAACACATCTGTTCCACTGATATACAAGAACATATATTATCAGAGGAAATTAATCAGCTACAGCTAATAGATTTATTGCACTGTCACTGCGTTGCCAATGCCATACTACATTAGAAAAAAAAAGAAGGTATTCCTCTGATATTTTCCAGTGAAAATTACAAAACAAGGCTGTCATGACTTGACTTGCTAAAATGATAGATGTTTTCACCTCGCCTCTGAAGCCAGCAGAAGGGCTGACACCAACTGCAGGTGAAGAATCAGAGCTTCATCACTGGAGTTGCAGCCATGCTACATCTAAGCAAGGAAACCAAGCAATAACCTGCACATTCACTGCAGCTGTCATGCAACCCTCCTTTCTTATTCCACTGAAAAAACAATTATTTAGTATCTCACCTTGCTATCTTGTCACTGCATGACATAGTAAGTAGCCTTTCTCCTTGCAATACTCCATCCCACGTCTGGATAGTGGTCGTAGAGCGCACAGGGATTGTTCCTTCCCCAGATTCTATTTTTGTTCGTAGCTGTCCTCTTGCCTTGCGGTTTGGATGTCTGTCCCCTTGATCTAAATGACAAAAACTGCTTACAATCAACTGAAAAATATTCTCAAAATATTTCACAGATAGCATTACAATAAGAAGAGTCTATTAAAGCCAACGTAGCTGCTGGCTTACATGACAATTTCTATCACTCCTTGCAATGTAGCTACATAACCATATCACTAGTACGTGCTCAAATAATACTTTAAACTCCAATACTAGAATACTACTGCTATCATACCCTCTTGTGCTGCTTCATGTGGCGAGAAAATCCTAGCATCTCCACAAGGAGACGTGCTGATATAGAGATGAAACTGCACATTTTCCTTCAGTTTAAACCCGCCTTGCTCCGATTTGATAAAAATGGATTTTTGCTGATCATCTTTATTGCTGAAACAGAGAACAAAAATATAGTCAAAACCAAAATTAATGTAAAAAATAACATAAGCTGGTCAGTCTCAACAGGCATTGTCTCAACACATGATGCCTGGAAATTTTATAATATAACTCTAAGAAGTTATTACAAATTTAAAAATGAAAAAAGAATGGAGACAAGAAATAGAGAGCCTTTTACATTCCCCAGTGAGCTTTCAGGGACTTACCAGAAAACAAAACAACATCACACATTGGACCACTTGAGATTATTTTGATTTAGATTTTTGTTTACAGATTACAAAATGATTCCCTGTAATTTTGTCTATGCTTTCCTCTCAAGATTGACACCTAACTGAATGCATGTTTTGTTCAATTTAAACTTCAGGGCAAAGAGCTTCAGTTCTCAGTTAAACATTCTAATGCAACAAGTGTTACTTTACACACTTCATTTCAGCAGGGCATGTCAGGACAAATGTTTCAGATTCAAATAATTAGAAGACATTTTCTTAAAGCTTTACAGCTCCATGTGGTCAGCTTATCTTCCTATAAGCTTACCTTAGATAAAGCTCAAGTTGTGTATATAGAAATTTAAGCAGGCACCGTCGAGATATAATTTCCGCGTGGCAATCATTTAATGCAAGACCCCGATCACTCATGTATTCACCATTGATGCATTTTGTTCCTGTAGAAACACTTATTACCAGAGCATCTTTCACATCTGTACCTGACAAAACAAAATTTTAGAATGAAGATGCAATTAAAATCACAAGCAACTTAGCAAGAGATCGTCCTGCAGAATTCAAACAAGGCTCTTTTGTTTCTTTTCAAGAAATATTTTTTCTTCTGATTTTTTCATTAAACCAAAAGCTTCACTCAGACTTATCTTTCCTCTACCAGTATGGTCTATGGTTCTTGTGAGTTCTTCCTTTTGGAGCTCATATGAGTTAGAAATTGAAAACCTGCAGGGAAAAATTGCTGCTTCAGGAAGAGTTATTACAGCCTGATCCCCAAAGATGATGCTTTTTTCTGAGCCCAGGCAGCCAGTTGGCTTAGAGCACGGCAACCTTTTGTCCATATATGCAGATATTAACAGCATATATAGAAATTTGTATTATTAAAAGGCACTGATTTATTTAAAAAAAAAACAAAACAAAAACACAGAACAGAAGGGTATTAAACCATCAACATGATAAGTAAAACTAGATAATGAAGTTCAAATAGTTAAACCATTTTAAAGCTTATCAGCAGTACAGGACATCTAGAGACATAGTTCTTGGTGTTAAATAATTCTGCACAATTGAATTAAAAATATTTTGCATGTTTTCTATACAAAAAAACCTACCTTTGTCATTAAAATAGTCAATTCCATGAAGAATTTGGAATGACAGGTCAAAATGCTACATCCCTGTACCAAAACAAAGCAAAAAACACCAGATACAGAAAGCAGCTGGCCCTGCTAAATGCCTTCTGCTGTCTTCATTCAACAGAATATTTACTGCAGTATGGACAAGCGGGAAGAAACATATTCAACACGGCCCAGGCACCTGAAATTTAAGGTCCATCCACAATACAGGATCATCTCCTGGAGGTGCCAATGCGAGGGAGCCTAGGCTGCCAGTGCGTAGAGTTAGCTGTGATGTGCATCCCGGCCTGAAGTGGTGCAGATTCATGGGGAGCTGTGTGTGGGTGTGGGAAAGAGCAAAGGCTAACTAACAAAGTGCAAAACCTTAAAGATTTGTAAAGCAAGCATAATTTCTTATATACCGTGCCAAAACCAAGAATGCCATCTGTGACCAATGTGGTGAAATTTATTTTAGATTTACTTTCAAAAAGTTCAATGTTTCATTTTAACAGGTTCATGCATTTTGTAGACTATGAATTATCTCAGAAGTCTCAACTACGCAGAAGACAGGAGCTCCAGAAACAGATGCATTTGCAGATCTAATTTTCCTTTAATCATCTTTAGCCGAGATTTAATTGCTATATTTAATGCACCTTGAGTATTAAACAGTAAAAATATATTTCAATACTGATTGACCAAAGAAAGAACATAGTTTCTTAGAACGCAAACAAAGCCCTGGGATTTAGACAGCTAAAACAGTTTTTTTTTTTCTTTACCTGTTGTCATGACAATTCCAGCAAGGACTTTTCTACGTGCATGTGGAGATGTGAAGTTTTCTGTCAAATCACTGAATTTATCTACTACCAAGCGTGCAACAGCATCTGCTAAAACCTGTTGGATCACACAGAAACACACATTAGAAAATTCAACAACTAAAAAAAAAGCCACAAAAGCATTAGGTTATAAAGATTTGCACTTTTAAATGATTTGACAAACAGATTAGAAGTGTTCGTATTGTTTGCTTTAAAACTGGACAAAGATTTTGATGCATCTGCACTATGCCAAGGAGGTGGCTAGGTCCAATTTTTCAGGCACACTGAACACTCAGAGCTCACTGTATGTGGAAATAGAGTTCTGTGTGCTCCATGACAAGGTCACATAGCCCCATGTTAAATATCAAAATACCTTACGCTCATGATCACTATGAACTTTTGAGGCTTTGGAGAACAACTGAACAGGGAGATGAGTCAGTATTTTCAGGCTCAAACCTTAGAACATCTCCTTTCAGCATCCTCAGTGTTGGACCTGACAGAAAGATTGAAGTGCAAAAGCAGCCTCTTCAAAGCAACACAGAAACCTTTCATAACAATCAAATTAATTACCTAGTTACTGCATAAGTAAGAATGAATTTGTTTTCAAAAGTGTTTTTTTTTGTTTTTTTTTTAATAAGACGTACAAATTTAAGAGTGTAAGACATCACTGCATAACCTACCTGTCTGAAAATTAGGAAGGCTTAACTCTTTCATCTTAAGGAAAACTTGGACAATAGCTACAGAGCTGTAACTTGCCAGTTGTGCTGACAAGCAACATCGTTCAGGCTCTGCGGGGACTAAATTCATATTAACAACAACTTCAGGATACCATTCCTGCTCGTGCTGAACTCCGATGATGGTTCAGTTCAACACTGCAGCCAATCTCACATGCTGATTTTAAGGCAGCTGGAACTACAATAACTAGAGATGAAATCAAACTCAAATTCCTGAATCTTCACCAGAAAAGAAACTGAAAACCAGGGCAATCTATGGAACATTACTCTTGAGTAAAAACCACCATGTAAATATCTGTTGTTGGTCCTGTTTTCCGCATGTACTACACAAAGTCCAGTGCCACCGTGATACACCCAGCAGCACAGTCGATTACATCAAAAGGAAAGGCTGAGAAAGACAAGTTACATGTTAAACAGAAGCAGCTGCAATGGAGGAAAACCCTTTTTGGCACAGTTTTTAGACAAATTAAGAGTGTCCATATGAAGAGGCCATTTAAGGGTGATGGCTCTTTCAGACACCATCACACCCCCAGGCATGCACTGACCATAACAGGACTTCAGGCTCACACACACATGGGAAAACCCAGGTTTAAACATCTCTACATGCAGATTCCTGCAGCCTGGTGTTAAATCCCTTCCTCGCAGTGCCAGGCATAGAAGACCGGGTGCGATTGTCTGCATGCTGCCAGCTGGCTGTAGTCAAGATGCTACCCCTGGCCCACAGGTGGACACACTTCAGAAGTGCACAGGTCCTGCGCCAGGTCGGCCAGTGCTGCACCAATGCCTTAGGTACCTGAGAGCGTCTTGTACAATGCTAAACATGTGCATAAGCAATTAAATCCAGCCCAAGAGGACATTGGGGCTGAGATGCCTCTGTTTACGAACTAACTACAGGACCTTTCTGTACAAGAAGAAAATCACCACACCTCCAGGGACAGCCCAAGGAAAATCCGCAGTGCTGACACATCTTGAGCATAATCTGTTCCAAAACCAGACTGCCGCAGTCAAAAGAAAAGTAAAAAGAAAAGGCTTGAAGACTGCCAGCCTGATTCACCACTGCTTTCTTAGCAGTGCTCATGAGAACTGACAGACTAGAAACAGAGGAACTCTCAATGTTGACTTTCTTCCGGGAAAGCTTTTGCAGCCAATGAAGCAATAACTACAGCTCATGTGTCATGATTTTGGAGCTTGATGTCTTTTTCCAGAATCTGACCGGGACACAGAGCAACTAGCAGTCAGTGGTGACTGAGGTCACATTTGCACCAAGCTTCAGCCCATGTTTTGCACAACATGACTTGTAGAATCAGCAGACTCTCAACACTGCGAATACAAATTTTCTCAATGCATTTGAATGGACTACAATTCAGGAATTCTTATCAACGGATTGAATTTTTTTTCAGAAGCTCAGCTTTGTTCAGAGGCTACCATCATGTTGTAGAGGAACCAGTTCTCAAGCTTCTCTCTAGCTTGTAGCCACCCATTGCAGCACTCCAGTCATGGGAGTGGTCCCACCACATTTCAGTGAGATTCAGATTCATGGGTTTAGAGCTGCAGTTAAAGCAGGTACAGTCCTTGAGAACCACACTGGGGTAAATTCTTCCTGCCTCCCTGTGCTTATTTCAGCACCTGGCTTTGGGCAGCAGCACGAAGGCTCAGTGCTGGTCCCATCACGGGGCTGGTGGTCGCTGCAGCACAGTGGAGGGGATGGGAAGCAGAGCACCACAACACCGTGCACCACTGCTACCCCTACTATAGCTCGTATCTGGGCAAAACCAAGTACAGACAGGTGCTACAGCAGAGATAAAAAAAACGTCAGTCCCGCATGGGGGGAAACATTTTCCTTTCTCCTTTAAATGAAGGCTAAGGGAGCCTTGATGAAGTTGGCCTCTGGATGTTAAGATACTTATTTGTAGACTGAGGGATAGAGAAGATTCTTTAAAGTTCTGAAGAAGCTCGTATTAGGCAATCGTAGCTTTACATACACTTCCTAGACACTGAACATGCTTATTATTATTATAGTTGGTGAATACTCTAAAATAGTCTCACAGAAGGAGTGAGAATTACAACCACTGAAGGTAACAGCAGTAGGTAACGCATGAGCTTTCTAGGGTTAACCCTACAATTTTCTCAACTTCACAATAAGATTTGTGTGCTACTAGTCTCCTGAATTAAAAAAAAAAAAAAGAAACTTCTTCCTCACTGACCCTTTTTAATGGCTTCTGAAATTAACATGGATATATTCTGAATCCAGTTTTATAAAAAGGAGAAAAGTGAAGGAAGGACAGAGAGAGGAGAAGGGAGAAGAGAGGGCCAAACAGTGGCCTCTCTATTGCAGTGAGATTACTAAAGGTTACAAGGGAGACAGGCAACATACACCTATGGTGGAGGATGTCTCAGAAATAAAGTCAGGCAAGGGCCTGGGAAGCCGTGGAGGAAGCCTAGCCAAGAGAAAGGGCTCTGCACCAAGGAGGCCATCACGGCAAGCTCAGTCCACTGAGACCACCTCCAAAAACAAGAGGCAAAGTTCAGTGCTCAGCAATGCTGCTTTCCCCTGTAATCGGATTTGGGCTTCACAATAATAGTTTTCAAAAACTTGTTTCTATCAGCTTCCACACTTCATCTATAAACAGGTGACCCACTTGTCTTCCAAAGTTATTTTAAAATACTGTTCACATTTCTCTGTCTTCTCCAGATCTCAACAACTATAGCTACCTACCAAATCTTTAGACCTATGACAAAGTAGGCACTTTAAATGTTTTAATGATCTTAACCTAAGCATGTTGAAACACGTAGTTGTCTTCCACAGAAAATAAAACTTCAAGGACACATTTTAGAGCCCTTGGTACATGCTGTGGATTACTGTACAATACCGGATATCCTGTTGGACTTGGCATGGGAGATAAAATGAGGATGGCTATCAATTTACAGAATGTAGCTACCCATAAACATATTTTCTTTGTTTTGGAGAGGCACGTCCCTACCCCGCTGGACTGACGATTTCTCCCATTTTAATACACAGAGTAATAAACACACAAGGCCTGATTTTCATCGGTGCACCTTCACCTGCTCTGAGGCACATGCTGACTTGCTGGGTTTAAGTCGCTTTCCCAGCAAAGAGATTTTCCTCACCACAGGCAGCAGTGCTTCATCTTTCACAAAAGGTCAAGCTGTGAACAAGCAGATAAACTTGCTTTGCACAGACTGATTTTAAATGTATTAAACCACAGGACCTTGATAACCCACTGTAGTGGCCAAATGATTATACCCATATCTATTTAATAAGCTGATCTCTGATACCAACAGTCCTTCTCTATCATTTGATAGCTTAGATGTGTATTCCCACATTTCATTCCCTCCAGTGTACTTGCTTCTACCTCAAGGTAAACAACTTTTGACATGTACTTCACCCAAAACTCCCCATCACCACCCAGAGCAGCAATCATCTTTTCACTCCTCTCAATTCTTTCCGCTCTAACAGTTTTTCTTGCAAGGCATCACAAATTAACACGTTAGCTGCAGACACCTTAGAGTTCTGCCTGCTGCCTACCAGATCCAGAAGGTAATGGCACCTCAAGAGATGAGGCAACACACTGCTTTTCACCACGCAGCTCTGAGCTGAGGACGCATTTGGAACCTGCCGCCCAGGCAGCAATTCCAACATCTGCATTGGCAGAGCTACATTGTACTCTCATTCCTTCCACTGAGCTTTCAGTGCTTGGAATTTTTCTCCCCTTGCATGTTTCCAGTTTGCAATTTTTCCAAATAAAATCACTATGTTGCTTGGTCTATGAGTTGTTACAAATCTCAACCTCGTTTGCATCACTCCTGTACTCTCCAATGTTTGTGACTTCACCCACTTTAGGGTTATCTCCAGACTTAATATATTTACACATATTCATTTAAAACCATTTAAAAACAACTGTTTAAGAACTCAAGAGTTAAAAAAAAAAAAAAGGAATAAAACAAAAGCACAACCAAACATCACAAATGCTTAAATCTCTGATTACTCACTAAAATGTACCAAAACAAAATCACTTATAATAGACCATGATGTAATAGATCAATTCCAATAACTTGATAGCTAATTATAACTATAAAAGCAGGGTAATAAAACACAGCAAAGTGCAGAAAGAAAAATGGATGTCCTGATTACAAACTGACCAAAAGACTCAAAATCGATAGCTGACTTTAAATAGGATCTACATGAGACAGTACCAGCAACCTGCCCCTTCCCCACATGGTGTAGTATGCTGAATTACCCCTACAAACACTGGGTTCTCTTCCACACTGGAGTAGCCTTTTATGCACATCTGTTAGAAAGGTAAAATGCAAGCTGGCCCTAAAGTACGCTTTGTTGTAGACAATATGGGCATCAAGGTCAGTTTTGGAGTGCTGGAGGGAAAAAAAGTTGTTTGCATGTGTTGCCTTTTAAAAAAATATATTTAAAACTGTACCTTGAGCTCAAATGCCCAGAATTGACCACATAGTTTCTCCACACCTTGCACAGCATAACTACAGCAAGAGTCCACTTACGGGGTGGCACTCTGGGACAACAAATAGGTTCACAGAACTGAGAATGCAGGTCAAAATCTCACAAAGCAAGGAGATCAGAAGTACCCATCACCGTCCAGTGGTCCATTGAAGTCCCTTAAAAAGGCTGTGTAAGTTGTTATGCATTGATCTTCTGGGCAGAAAAACAACTTTACCCCCTTAGAATGATAAAAGTGTGAACTGGGAGAGAATATAATGATTCTACTTTCCCCACCTCAGAACGAAACTTACCAGAAGTCGCCCTGAAAAATTATTCAGGGCAAGAATAATTCTTATTCTTTTCTACTTCATATTGTAGTTCCCATTTTCATCATTTTACTGATTCAGGAACTAGTAACATGTAAAAAACAGTGAATTTTTTGGCGTCTGGTGCCAAATCCACCTTTAAAAGCACTATTTTAAAATAGTGAAATAGCTGAACCTACTGAAGAAATCATAAAGACCTGAAATAGCATAATTCTAGATTTGAAAAAGCATGAAACATTCATAAATAATCCAAGAATCATGAAAAATAAAGAGACAGCATATAGGAATTTCTAAATAATGCATTTTGTCCATGCAACTAGAGGAAACAACGTATGTATAATAATCACATTTATATATACTCTTCAACCCCAGATTATAGAATGATATTGAATCAGACATAGAGTAATTTGAATGAACTTTAAAACAATGTTTTTGCGATGGCAAAGGTCAAAGCCTCAAAACTCTCATTAGAATAAACAGAAAGTTGAAACGAATTCATGGCATCTTATATGTATATGTATGCATATATACATACATAACAAGTAGATGGATTTAGACAGACATATCATTAAAAAGACCCAATGGATGTAGTACAAAGAGGGCAGACAAACATTCATTATTATACTTAGACTGGGGAGAAGCACAAGCAAACAAGGGAGAATTTTTCTTCATTAAAAAAGTTTAAAATTACTTCATTCTAGCTGCTTTACATTTTTTGATCTCTGTCTGGTATGTTTGCTACCTTCCCTACTTCACTAATTATTTAATTTAAACTATTTCTCATCCCGATTTACTTGCCTAAATAAATAATTTGCACATAAATATAATTTGCATATATATATACATAATATATATATTTATATATTTATATATAAAAATTACATATAAATATATGTGCATATATATATATATTTATATGTATACACACATAAGCACACACACAAATAAACACACCCATCCATCCAAGCAGAACAAACAGCAGAAATGTTGAAGCTGATTCAAAATGATTCACCTTGGCTATGACTGGTCATTATCTAAGCAGGCTGAAAAACACCAAAGGGCTTCTCACCTGTGGCAAATGCAACTGGAGCCCCTCACTAGGAATGGGCTGTCGAGATGGAGTCTGATCCAGCTGCATGTTAAACAAGGATGCCAAGGCTGACTGAGCAGCCCGAGCTTTTGCAAGCTTTTTATTCCTTCCTGATCCTTCAAACGTTTGACCATCCACTGCAACAGCCATGACAAAGTTTTTGGCATGGCTTTCCCCGCTCTCTGAGAGAAATTCGTACTTCAGTCCTGGCCGCAGCTCATTCAGGATCATGACCGGATTCTTGCCGCTCGTGGTTGGGTACGGTGATGGTGTGGGGAGAGGCGACTGGGTAAGACTGCTGGCTACAGCAGATGACGATGACAACCCGTAGTCCCCACTAGAGCTGAAGGAGCCATCCCCATTGGACCCTAGGTAAAAGGAAGCATCAGCAGGAACTGGAGTTTCAAATCCATTGAAAAGCGTGTCAGGAAAGTCTGCCTGGTCGGAGGTGAAGTCTGTGTTGACAGAGAGAGTCCTCCCCATTGCGAGGTGCGCCTCTGACGCATTTGGGAACTGAACGAAAGACCGCAGAGCCTTCTCAGCAGCATGAAGCTTGGCTTTCTTTTTTGTAGGGCCAGACCCTTCAAACACCTGCCCATTAACTTCAACTGCCATCACAAACATTGGAGCATGAACCGGCCCTGTTTGGGACAGCAGTTTGTACTGTAAACCAGGTTTAATCTCATTAAGTTGCATCAGGGCATTCTTTGGCAAAACGGGACCTGGCGTTTTCTTCCTCTTCTTAGGGCGAAATTTGGAGTGGCCATTGTTGCCCTCCTCCAAAAGACGCTTTCTGCTGCTGCTGCTACCACCATTGGAGAGCTGAGCCCCCTCCCCGGTGCCTTGCACACTGCCGTCCTTGGGGGGAACGTTGTCCATGTTGCGGTTTTCTTTAACATCAGTGCTGCTTGAACCTGCGGTGCCCAGAAAGAGTAACTTACAATGCCTTCGTTGCAGGATCTTGTAAATGCAAAATTTATAGATTCCTTTATCGCTCTTTATAACTGGTTAAGTGATGTGTGCTCACTGATTAAAGCTTTTGCAATGTAAATGGAGAGCAATACTTCTTGATAATTCAAGAAAGAGCACATTCAAGAATTATTTGCAAACATTGCATTTGCTACTTTCATATAACAATAAAATGCTGCAGCTTTTCCTTTTGCATTCAAATCACACTAGAACAAAGTTTTTACTTCACGTGAAAAATGCTTTAAACCTGAAAACTAAATTGTATTATTTGTAGGATACACCTATAAAATAAAAAGCTCCCATTACTAAAGTAAAAATGGATGCTTAAGGCCATTTCTAGGAGACTGATATTTAATTCTACTTTATTCTTATTTTAATAATGTTGCATTTTTGTCTTAAATGATTTTATTTGCTCAATTTGAGAAATGACAAATAAAATCAGTGTCATGAAAGGCAGTTCTTTGGTAGGTAGGCAACTTGACTGAAGACTGTATGGATGTTTTACTTCTCTTTAGCTATGCTATATTCTCTAAATTCAATTCCTTTATGCTTTTCATTTTTTATGCTTTTTCCCAAATGATTTTCACCTCACCTCAGTTTGCTCAGGACCTTCAGCTGCTGGCTGCCCAAACAGGACTGCCTGCCCACTGCATGGCAGCTCCAGCAACAGGCCCGTTCAGCAGAGCAAACCCCTTCTTCCAACAACTCTGACCCTTAAACCACCTTCACTGAACCCAGTGGCATGCTTATCTTTTCTGTACACCCAAAATAGGTGAATACAGCTACACAGATGCAGCACAAAATGAAGAGAAACAAACTGTGCTTCAGCATCTCTCTGCATATGTAGTCTTAAATTTCAAAATAAATTTTATCACATATCTATTCCATCATCAGAAAAACAGCTGTAAAAAATGCATTTGACTAAGGTTGCCTCACAAAACCACTGCGTATATATTTGTACACAGCCTTATATTGAGAAACATTTTATTTGCCATTTATACGCAACTTTTAAATTCCTTGCAAAAAAACTGCTCTCCTAGACTTACAAAACTAAACATCCTCTTTTAAGACTACATAGAACACAAGAGGTGTGACAAAATCTGCACAATCACAATGAGGATATTTTAATGGGAAAAAAGTAGTATTGCACGATTAATTTAATGAATCATTATTTATTTTCTAAAGTAGAAAGTTGGAGTAATGATACATTAGATATGTATTTAAAAATTATATTTGCTATAACTGGAAAGTCCTCATTTTTATCCTGATTAAAAAACTAACAAAATTATTTGTGCTTTATATTGACATTCATGAATGAAAAGGCAAATTTAGTAGGTCAAGCGCATCTAACTCTTCTGTTCCAAGACTCCAAAATATCTATTACTGTATTAAATTCACACTGATAGCAGGTGATAAATATTTATTTAAATTAGAGTGAACCAAAGTGGAAGCTTTCCTCCTGACAAATTTCAAACATGCTTTAAATCTTCATGAAGTATTCACTACCATGCACACATCACTTCGCCCAGGTTACAAAGCTGATGGAATGGTTACTAAATTTTCATTTATAACATCCTCCAGCAAAAGCTCGATAGGTTACTCCTTTCGGTGCTCAAAGAAGAAAAAAAGGAAAAAATAAAGATCAAAAGAAAAACACCAAGTAGGAACACATTTTGTTAAAATGCAGTAGCACAACAAAGACTTGTATAGTATTGAACAGTAAATTCCAGTCAAATGCAGTCAAGAGTGAAACACAAAGGGTTTGGGAGCATTTCATGGCAACAAATCTGCTAAATTTAATAAAGAATCTCTTGTAATGTCCAGCCACAAATTATATTGTCTGCAGAATGTGTGCTGAAGGGTCATGACTGCCAATACACAGTGTTCATGCATAAAAATTCCTTATCATACTAAAGTGAAGGAATTTAAGGAAAACAGAATAAATTATTAAAACTTTCTTACAGTGTATTTCTTACCTGAAGCTGTAATCTCCAAAAATTATCTAAAACAGCATTTTTCAAACATTGTTCTTACTAGTGGCATCAGAAATTTGCTACTGAACAACATAACTTTTGTAGGCTAAACAGAAATCATTCAGTTAACACTAAAAAATGGTTTCTCTTCATATCCTTCTTCCTATAACCAGTGCCTGTGAAAGCCATATTAAGAAAATATGAGTTGAATAGACTCCAACTGGATGGAAAAAGAGCAGTTTTGTATCCATGTTCAACAGCCGGAGGAATTGCAGCTTGGCCTGCAATCATTCTGTTCTCTTAGTTCTTCTCACACCTCCTTATTTCCATGGCTTTCTGAGCAGATCCACTGTGGGTGGTAAGGAACTGGACACACTGAAGATTTTGCACTTTTTGTTCTGTTAACGCAATGTTTTAGAGAGTGTAATACCCTGGGAAGTCTCTCAATCACTTTGAATGGAATGAGGAAGGACAGCTTTACCCTGAAAGCCATGGCTAGCTAAGGATCCCATCAAAACTCAAACTAGGAACATCAGTACTCAAAAGGAACACAAATTTTGTTGCTCTAAAGCAGTGTACACAGGTACTTGTGCTGCCAAGTACCACAGCTAAAGTAAGGCAGGAAAATTAGAACCGTAAATGTTCATACAACTGTTTGGATTGGAAGGAACCTTGAAGGCCATCCAGTTCCAATCCTCCTTCCACAGGCAGGGACACCTCCCACCAGACCAGGCTGCCCAAAGCCCCATCCAACCTGGCCTTGAACACCTCCAGGGACAGGGCATCCACAGCTTCTCTGGACAACCCATTCCAGTGCCTCACCACCCTCAGAGTGAAGAACTTCCTCTTAACATCTAACCTAAATCTCCTTCTTTCAGTTTAAAGCCATTACCCCTTGTCCTGTCACTACCTGTCCACGTAAGATGTTGCTCTCTGATGTTAAAACACTGTTAGAAAGTACAATGCGTTGGAGGGAGCTGACAGGAGAAAAAAAAAATCAATAATGGATGTTTTTCGTATTTTTTTTTCTTAAAAAATAACTTAATGCAGTTGACAGGTGACCATGTGTTACAGTATTGTTAGATCTCCTAGAAAAAAGACCTAAGACTTTCTAAAAGATCCTCATGCTAGATGCTATATATATATATATATATATATGCTTGTTTATGCATTTTCCAGTCTTTAAATAAGTTTCCAAGTAATGAATACTTTAAATAATCATTGAATATTTTGAAGTTGGTCACAACTGTTGTGTATTCAGCTCCTTCAAGTAGTGTTAACAGATATAAACACACGACAACACGGTCATGTTTTCTTAAACATTAACACTACCCATGATTTAGAAGTAAGACAGTTTTTGTAAGACTGGCTTATTTTCCAATCACTAAAAATAGTTGGCAGTTCTGACTAGAGACTTCACTAATGTCAGTTGAAGCTTCTTTGGTAAAAATCACAACTGACAGTATCACATGCCAACAACTTCAGTGAAGGAAAAGTTCTGCCACTGAAGTAATCTATTCAAGAGGTTTACAAAGCTGACAGCACTCAAAGAAGGAAAGAGGCATAGAAAATTTTCATGCCAATTAAAATAAGTTCTATCCAAGCATGCTGGTTTATCTTTTTTTCCCCATGTAATTAAAAAACACCTCTAATTAAGATTCATTATTCAGTGGGGATCTTGCCTTGCTCTCTGCTCCATCTGGTATGGAGCACACTTAATTATGTTTAAATGACTCTTAGCTGAACCACAGCTAGAAGGATGTTTCTAGATGCCCTTTATACTGCTGCTCTCATTTACTGGCCTGGGGAAATCCTAAATACGTCTTTTTTATTATTATTTTATTTTCATATGAAACATATGCATAAAAAAGTGACTTCTTGCGATCACCTTTTTTAGCAAAAGGGGGAAAACAATCAAAGAAAAAGGGCAAGACACACACGTTAGCAAGTGTTACAAGTGTTCTGCAAAATGTACCACCTCCCCTCTCCTGTGAGGTAATTGGTAAGTACAGACTTCAGAGAATGACAGCATTCACAGAATCACTGAAGCTGGAAAATATCTCTAAAATCATTGGTTAACCATTAACCCAGCACTGCCAAGTCTACCACTAGACTACATCCATAAGAACCACATCTATGCATCTTTTAAATGTCTCCAGGGATGGCGACTCAACTACTTCCCTCGACAGCCTGTTCCAATGCGTCACAGCCCCGTTCAGTGAAGAAATTTTTCCTTATATCCACCCTAAATCTCCCCTGGTGCAACTTGAAGCCACTTCCTCTTGTTCTATCACTTGCTGCCCAGGAGAAGAGGCCGACCCCCAGCTCCCCACACCTTCTAACATCTTCTCTTTGTTCATCAGATACAGGAGGATGAACTTAAAACCTGAAAGTCTGAAACGTTGTTTTCTTGAGTGCATTAAATGTAATCTCATGACCGTCTTACACTTCTGCAGAACCAAGACAGTTTGAATTCTATCTTTGGCAGATAAATTCTAGTTATTATAACTGTAAGCTACAAATATTTCACGGGCTTGCCTTCCATTTCCCCTAAAAGGAGTTACACAAAATAACAAAGGCTTTTATAGGCACTTCTGATATCACACTTTGCCATCTTCAGTGATACAAAAATACAGAAAGGTACAAATAAAATTTAAAAAATATTTGTACAAATCAAGGTGTAGAACTTAAGAATTTTGATTTTCCTCTCCAAATCCAGTAACATTCCAAATTCACGATGTTTGTGTGGTCATTCAGATGCAGAAAAGCCTTCTTACACCTTCTATTAACTGGGGTCATCCAAGATGATGTTGTTACCTGTGGCTTCTTTTGCAAAACGTGATACAGGCAATGCACCTCAAAATTTACTTCTGGGAGATCAATGAAGTTACACAAATGCATGTCCCAAACCTGTAACAACTCAGCAGAGGCAGTCTCCTGCCAAGACAGAAAGTTCAGTGAATTTGAATTGCTCTGCATATTGGTGCACTAGCACAGAAACAGAAGCAGACATAACCTGAATATCTTGCTTAAGGAATTTACAAGATGACACTATCAAATAGGTGGTATTTTGTTCAGCTCAGGAAGGCACCATTCATGCTCAGATTTACTCCTATTGAAATAGGGTATGTTTTATCTGAAGAATTATCTCATGGGAATTATCCAATTCACCTCTTACCTTTTTTTCCAAGTTCTCCTCATTTAACCACTCTTAGAAATAGCTAAAGCATCCAACTAAAGAAATTAAAGAAATTTCTTTAAAAAAATAAAAATAAAAAAAAAGAGAAGGAAAAAGTGGAAGTGGTTGCAAGCATATTTTAGTGAAGATCACTGTGTCAGTCAAAGGAAAAAGAAGAATTCTAGTCCAGTTAAGTTTTTGTCTTTTTTTCTGTTGGCTTGTATTTTAAACCATTTAATATCTTTATCTCCCAACAAAAGTATGTTGTAATAACTCCTTCAAACTGAATTACAACTCTTCTATTCCAAAGCCTCCTATACTGCTAGGCTTTTTCAGCTTTGCCAGAGATTTAGACATTGTCACTTAGGGGAAATAAGCACATTTGTTATTATATCATACACAATAATTTACAGTCAGGCACAGCACATAAGCATATCAGAAACAGAACAGGTCTCTCATTCATAAAAACAAAACAGTTGAAAGGACAGGAATCTACAATATTTTTTGTAACATTTTAAATGAGAACAGTTTTCTCCAGAGGTTATCAGATCTATATTACACCACATAGTTAGCAATTTCATAGCACTTCACCAGTGTTTTCATCAAGATGATAGCTGGTTTTGTGCTTAAACACTTCATTAATTCAGTACCTCAGTGTTGGAGAAACCAGCCTGTAGAAAGAATACTCAGCCATGCAAGACCTGTAGGGAGTTCTTCTAGACCCTCACTTTGCTTTTTCTTCATTCATTTCTGCTTTCCCTTGTTTATTTTACACACTTCAGTCTCCTTCATTTCTCCCCTGTCTTCCACTGGTCCCTAACTCTCATCATCAGTATTCTTCCTCTTCTAGGTTTTACCTCTTCCAGTAAGTTCCTGCCTCCGGGATCTCAGCATAAGCACACAGATGGAGGATACTGCAGTATCTTCCAGTGCACAATGAACTTCACTGGCAGGCAAACAAACCTCACCCAGTACCTGATTATTCAAGGTGAAAAAGCTCAGAGAACCCAGCATGATTAGCCACCATTAACATGGTTTGTGCGCTACAGGAATCATCATCTCAAACACATTCACTTAATGCATTGTACAAGACTTGGTATTCAACTTCTTGTCCCACTTGCTCAGGTAATAATGACCTTTATTCCCATCAAACCTCATAATTAAAACTGCACAGAAGGTTCTCATGCTGAGAGTCCCATACAGATTTGCTCTTGTACTGACCCAGCCTACCTTGGTGACCTGTAACTCCACTGCTAGCCCTTCTGAGAGCGGAGTAATTTGCAAAAAAGCAGCACAGTGCACCCACGCCTCAGGAGAGGTCTTACGTGCTACCCACACCGGCACAGTGGGATGCACAGGTCCCATACAGAGCGTGTGAATGCAGTATACCAAACTATTATTAATGCGAGAAATCCATCTTCGTTACTTCAGTGACAGTCCAAAACAGGGTAATATTTTGTACAACTAAACAGTTGTTGGAAGAAAAATAAGATATAAGGTATAATTAGACTAGCACATAATCACGTGTAAAAAACTTTTAGTTCAAAAGCTCTGATTTACTTTTCTATACTGTATTTAGAAACATACAAAAAATCATTTTAATTTGTGCTTCGAAGTTCCTTCAGTTTTCCCTGTGGCTTGTGAGAAAAAGTCACCTTAGAAATGATTACATAGTTTATTATTGTGTAAACAAACACATCTTACTCATGTTTTCTTCATCGTCAACATCCATTGTGAAATATTTTTGCTGGTTTCTTGGCTGGCGAAGACTGCTTCTGTCTGGAAAACACAGATAGTGGGATACTTAAGCTTTCATGTACCAGCATACAAGGTAAACTGTTAGATGGCCAAAAGCAGCAGCCTGGGCACTAACTTTGCTTTGGCCTATCCATGGCTTCTTCCTCAAGCAACAGTGGGCAGTTCAATCTTTGCACAGTATTTCCTCAATGAAATTTTCCTGTTTCTGTAAGCTGAGGCACACTCTTATAGAACTGCAAATTCTGCAATGTTTCCAATAATTTGTTTTTGTTTGTTTGTTTGTTTTGTGGGTTTTTTTTTTGTTTTCCCCATACAGTGAGCTACTTTATTTATTTATTATTTTTTTTTAATCTGAAGGAGTGCATAAACTATTTATCTCACTACTGGTAGCTGTTTTCTTTGAAGAACAATTGCAGATAACTCCAAGTGTCATTTGTGTTTGATGGCAACTTTCGTAATAGTTAAATGAAGCAATGCTGTTCCCACAGGGATCCAGCAATATATCTCAAGGCAAAAACAACACCAAATTCACTCTGCAGGTTAACACACAGACAATTCAAGCAGGCAAGACAATAAAAATGCAGTTGTTTATCCACCATCAGTACTATTAAGTACTTACTAAGTACTATCACTGTAGCCAAGTCATTCTGCCCAGTTGTACATGCTGCGATATTCAGAATATAAACAGTACTTCATAAAACCTTAATTTTCTGAATTATAAGCCAGTCACGTCAAACAAAAACGACATCTAAATGTACACTGTATGCTAATTTATGTGGAGTCATAGAAAAGTACAGTACACTTAAATATTTCTGAAGTAATAAATACATTTGAATACACTTATACGTTATATATATAAATAATAACAATAACAAATAAATAATATAGATATAAATATAACAATTAAAATAAATTACATACCATATATTTATATTATAAATATATTTTGTTATATAATTATGAAGTATTTATAGTATAAATAATTTATTCAGTGAAGTTTATCTTCCTACTGTTTGAATATTGGTTTTTTTATTATATGAAAAGAAGTTTTGAAGGACCTTTTTAACAGCTTTCTTGATTTATCCTTATAACTGAAGAAGAGCTACAGACACCGTGAAAGGAAAGTTTAATGGCTATCCAATTATATGTTAGCAGAGAATGGCATATATAATTGTAAAATGTCACAAAAAAAAACAAAAACAAAAACAAATCCCAATAGATGAAACAAAAATGGTATTAGAAGACAGTAAGAGGCAGAAAGCTGCAACTTCAGAGAAGTTCTGTATTTTGTAAAAAGTGCTTTACTTCCAAGCTTCAAAAGCTAAGGAAAATAAAAGATTGGAAGATCCCAAAGGATTCTGTTCAAAATATTTCTTTTGTTTTGTAAATCCAAGCGGAAAGCATTGAGGTTGCATTCAGTAACGAAGGTTCAAACCTCACTGGAAAACCTTTGCATGTTTTCATTTATAACCTGCCCCCTAGCACTTGGTTTTGACAATACAGCACTAAAAAACACTACCTTTTTGCTCCGACTGCTTCTTATGCCTCCTTTTACAGCGACGCCCGGCCGTGCTGAGAGGGAAGTTCCCATGCTGAGAGCCCTGGGTAAAAGCGATGCCATGCACAGTCCCCAGCCAGCCCAGTCCCTCTCCCTCTCCTCTAAATATACAGTGACATTTCAGTGAGCAAGAGCCACAAGGAGCATCACCTTTGCCGACTACGTGTGGTCTTCACCTGTGCCAGGTCCCTTCCTCGAGCAGAGCCACGTGTCACAATTAACACCTGGGGACAGCCTGGCAGTGAGAGGGGCGAGGACAGACCACAGCCTTCAGGTGACAGTATCAAAGACAACCTCACAGTCTTCTTTCATCACTATCAGGTATGGAAAGGGAAATCTATTTTTGCTTATTTTACTACCAGAAAGAGGAGGGCAGTTCTTTGGCTTGGATCCAGCCTTACGTGTATTCTCAGAAACAGGGAGACATAAGAAAGAAGTTGATGTACCCTCACTGCATAAAACAAAGACGCCTTTCAGCATCCTTTATACTTGTTTCACACTTTCTTAGTTATTATATTATTTCATATATTGCCTAGAAACACACCAAATACATTTGTGAATAACACAAATCTACAAATCTCAAACAGGAATGTTTCAGTGACATTTTTCATACATTTTTTCTTAGCCCAGGTTTTGCTAACAGACGTACCAATGTCAACACTCACTGTGTCATTCTCCAGCCTTTTTACAAACAGAAAAGCAGCATGTGCCCTTATGTGATAATATGGTGTTATCTTGCTTCAATTTCATTGAAATTTTCCATTTCCTGAAATAGAAACTTGACATGACTTCTGCAGGAAGCCTAAGTGCTGAGGGCTGCAAACTCTCACTCGCTCCAGAGTTCAAGTTCTACTTCAGCATCGATGTCAATGTGCAGTTGCACTGATTGAACAAATACTGCAAAGCCCATTCATGTTCAGTTTGCACAATTCAAAAAGAACTTGCTGTGGTGAAACAAGCTGCCAACGCCATGGCTTGCTATCACGTGTTTACTGGATAAGAGCACAGGTGGAACTGGGTCTCATCACCATTTAAGACCAGTTTCTCAAAACGGCCTCCCTGGGACAATGAGGCTCAATCTTCCTTTACAGGAGGTCAAATGTCTTTTGGTTCCAGCATCTCTGCTCCTTTCTTTACTAAACACCATACACTTGGGCCCACAAACCAGAGGCGTGCTCTGGATTAATATAGCAACACTTCCTCCTTCATGTAAAAAACAGAAACAACTTCATTGAAAAGTGACAACAGTTTGGCATTGGGGCCTGGAATGCTACATCCCAACAGGTCTGCACGGTCATGGAGAAGCTACGATTGCCATCAAGGAAACTAATATGAAGCCCACTGCTTCAATGCCAGCACAAGCACTGCCTGCACTTCAAAAAAGCACTTTCCATCTGAACAGACATCATTTAAGCCTGAATGTAGCAGTTTTGTACCTTGCTAATTAACAGTTTCGGGCCAAGTTTGACATTTCAGTTCACATTAGATGTGTGTGACAGGGGAAGGACAAGAACTACATGTCCATGAAGGAGAAGCACCACTGATACACACAGGGAGAGAAAGGGGAAAAAAAACTCCTCAGGAGAACGGGAATTGTACATTTCAGGAAATGTATTACCTGAAAAGTCTCCACGCACCAGCAAAAAAAAATAAATCAGTGCAAGTCTCATTTACTTATAGATTTTCCACTATTATCAGCTTATATTCTTTGAAGAAATGTCTGCACGCAGTATTTTGTAAGCATTATTAGTGACTTTTCCCTACATGCATACATCATGTACACATGTCGTGTATTTTTCAAGCACTAGGTTGACATCATAGACCAACAGCAAGATTTCTTTCAGTTTGGTTCTGCAGCAAGAATAAATATAAACTAGCAGCAACCACTAGGATTTGCTATAGGTTAATTACAGCATGAGCATTTGCTCTTCACAGCTCCTGGCCGCACACCAGAAATTCCAAGCAGCTTTGACACAATATCCCTCAGAGCTTGCAGTTCAGGTCCTCAGATTATTAAATCTGCTCCAACAGCACCACCTACTGCTACACTACATACATAATTGATTTTACATCTAATATTCCATTGGCCAAGAAAGCCCGAAGCTCAGCTCAAAATTAGAAATAACTTATGATGTTTGCAGATTTATTTTGAAGCAAACTATTTTTGTACATCTATTTATTACGAAGTTTTGTTTTTAGCTATCATCAGCTATCCTTATGGGCTTTTCTTCAAGGGCTAAATCTTTCATTTTTTACATTATTTCTGAAAGATTCCTTAAATATCTATGAATGTCAGAAATGCATTTAAGATGTGCAAAATTTCCAAGGAAAAAGTGGTAGCCATTCTGAGAATAAAACCCAGCAGCTTAGCCCTCTGATTAAGTAGCATTTACATTTTTGTCATAATTTAGAAGATTATAGTTGCAGCTACCAATTAACCCAATAGTTAATTGGAAAAGAGATCTAAAATAGTTTAAAAAGTCCCAAAGATCTTGATGCTACTAAAAAAAGTCAAGCAGGTATCATGAGACTTGCTTACAGGCTTAAGCCTGCTTGTAAGCTTACCAGGCTCACATACTGGATGTATTTCTTCCCTTCACAATTACAATCAGTTATCAAAATCAGATCAAATACTCAAAGAACTCTCAAGTCCTACATGTCAACTTTTTATATTTATTTTATTAAGATGGACTGGATACAAATTTTTGGTCGAACAGGTAAATACTTTTTTGTAACATCAACTTGATACTTTTTTGTAACATCAACTTAACAATATTTTCCTCTATTTTCAAATTGTTCTGATCCAATGTTCTAGAAATTGCTTAGTGTACAAACTTTTTTTTTTTTAAGATTTGAACAACTGTCAATACATTCAGATGAATTATCTCTAATATGTATGCATTAGTCAGAGTACAAAGAATCTTGCAATGTATTTATAAATATGGTCTGCTTACCTTTTTAACTACTACAGACACATGCTGATTCTGCAACCTGCAAGGAAAAAAAACACATATAGTATTTTTATCTTTCACAGATGGTAAGTCCTGACCTTAAAAGGGACAAATTTCTGTTTTGTGAGACTAAGCAGTACATACTGCATATTAACGGTAATAAACAGTACATTGGTAGCAGAGCAAAATCCCTTGCAGAACAAGACACACTTACAGTAGTGGATATATATTGTACCAGGTAAGAGATTTTGGTATTTGCACCTCGAAAAACAAAATTTCCTGCTATTACACTACCCACAAGAGGGTGCTGGCACTCTACAAAGTCTTTCATTAAGCAAACTTAAGATATACAGCACACAAGTACAGCAATGGGCACAACAAACTTACGAACACATACATTAAATATTGAACTGCTTTGGTTCAGTTAGACAAGAAACGATATTTAAAGTTCCAATACTGGAAGACTGCAATAATTCAATCTTTTATTTTTTTTCCTCCCAAAGACACTTTAATTTCCCAACAGTGCATGGGGGCATTTCTCAGTAACACTACCAATCCAGAAACAACAGTAATATTTTGGACTTACCACAAAGTACTAAAAATGTTTGGATAACTCAACTGGAGTCAGCTTCCCTGAGTGTAACAGTCTATCCTCAAACACACCAAACTGTAAATCACTATACTGTGGATACTGCACCTACATCTCCTTTAATATTTTCCCAACCTAATAGTACACAACAAAAACACTGTCATTCAGAACACCCAGAATATGCGCTATAAATTGTGAAACTCCATTATTTGGGACAAATATCCACTGAAAATATAATTTCCTTAAGTTTTTGATAGTTCTCATTCTACATAAGCATTGCTTTAAATAAAATTATAATTAAAACTTTGACAAAACTACTAGCAATTTTTAACTAATGGTCAATTTTTTACAGTAGTGTGAACTGGAGTTGTTTGTCAAATCGTATTTTTTATGTGCCCTATCACCCGAGTTGGTAATTCCGTGAATTTCAAACACGCTGAACAAACACAATTCTTGAGAAGTAGGACTTGAAATTGATTTATCTCTAAGTGCCAACAAATCTCCACAGGCATGACACATAAGGAACAGTTATACAGTACTTACACTACTAAAAAGCCTGGCAAAAATGAAAAAGAATTAACAAGTTTATTTTCTACCTCTGTGGCTAAATACAACAGCCCAAGTCCATGTGAAAGGACAGCTGGTGTGGTGGAATGGGCACTGCCAGCCTGCATCCCTCACCAGCAGATGGGGCTGGGTGGGCTGGACACTTTTGCCCCCCAAGAAGCAGCACTCATCTGCTCAATACCAGGAGAAAATGCTTTTTTTTTTTTTTTTTTTAATTGCTGTTGTTAAAAACAACACTATACTTTAAACTCAAACAAGACACCATTTGAACCTGGATTTTCAAAGCTGGCAGAGCCTTGTGCCCAGACACCTGCTCAGGGCTCTGGATGCGTTCACTCAGCAAAGGATGGCTCTGCTTTGAGGTTTTATGGCTCCCACAACACAGTCAGCAGCACAAAAGGCACCTGAAGGTCAGCAGCCAGTGCAGATCCTGCAGCTCTGCACAAACCTACCTCTGCTGGTAAGCACTGGGCTGGTGTGACAGAGCTTCACTGCTGCAGGACTGTGAGTAGTAAAGACCAGAAGAAGGAAAAACAAGACTTGGAATACTTTAAACCAGTAAACACACTAAATGGGAAAGAGAGGAAAATGACCCTCAGTTATAAAAGCTCTGAGCAAACCTCTAATCTTCCACATTTCCTGCCTGGTTCTGCCTGGTGGCAGCTGGATAATTCGGGACTTGTTCAGGTCATAATGCATTTCCCTGACACCTTTTGCAGGCAGAGCCTCATATTTGTGTGCCAGAAGGGCTCCTCTGAGCAGCTCAGCACCTCTGAGCAGCATCTCTACACTGCTACTGCCCCAAAAGCAGTAAACAAATTCTGAGTCCCTTACTTAGTCCCTTCTTAGTCAGGAAAAAGGCCCTGAAGACACATGCTATCATCTGCTCCCTTCATGGAAACAAGATTGTCATTTTCATAGAAGTCTACCCTACTGTGACAGACAGCAGTAAAATACTTGGAAGAAACAGCCTAAGTAGAGCTCTTTTTCACCATGTAACTGGAATAACAACTAAAAAGCAAAGCAAATACAACTAAGGTTAGGCATGGCATTGAAGCAGCACTCGACACAGCTCTTTTTGGCTATCAAAACACTACTACACCCAAGACTTGTGGTACTTTCTGTCATGTTCAGCTTCTCGCAGATGAACAGGTTTTCAGAGAAACCACACAGACAAAAAGAGCTAAGAAAAGTGCCTTACCCAGTTTGCATCCCCACCACCTCCTCCATCCAGTCAACCTCAATTTCAGTTATCACTACCAAACCTTCCAGTCACTGAAAACCATACGAAAAGATAGAAATCAAGAGACTTCCAAACAGCTTCACGTCTAAAACAAAGAAGACCTAGTGGATTTATTCACAGAAGAGTTAGGAGACATACCCAATACAATTTCCCCCAGTGCAAAGAATATTTGAAACTCATTTGAAGAACACACCATGCTGGGGATTTATGATTTTTTACAGCTCAACTGAAAATGTTTCAAGGCTTTATCCACACAATAAGAAACAAATCAGAGGTCTGATAACTGCATCTCACATCTGTGAAACACCTCTAACTGCCAGGCCTATCACAATTTCCTTAGCGGAGAGGTACTGAGCAGCACCTCCAGCTAAAACTCTGAGCTCTTCACTGGTCAACAGGTAGTCCTACGTCTTTGATAAAGGAGAAAGAATTTATGACTCTTCTTAAGCAAAAAGATCTTCTTCCTCGAGGGCAATTAAGGACTACCTGGCTGAGTACACATAAGAGTTCCTGCAACTCCAGTGCAACCACTATCAACAATTAGTGCCCCCTCCTTAGCTCATTTGCTGTAAGATGAAACCCTGTTGATGCACCTGTGTTAAGTTTCAGTGCTGCTGACTTTCACACTGAGCTCTCACTCCATTTGCTCAGCTGAAGGGTAAGTGGAGAACAGGTGGCACCGGGAGAACACCAAGAGGACGCACTCAGGTAACCCTCAAAGAACAGCACTGCACGGTATGAAACACGGCTCTGCCATTTAGAGAAAAACATGTGAAGTGCCTCCAACCACGCTGGATGCATCTAAGTGAAATAAATGTAAAAATGGTTCCTGCCACCAGGCCAGCCCAGTTTCCCCATCAGTTTATCTAACCTCGTTAGCGTTGCTAGTTGTTCAGCTCAGGTTTCTTGGTGGAGGTGAGTTTTTTGACCACAGAAGGTGCCAGGATGGCCCCTGACACAAGGAGAAGGCCGTGTATGGAGCGGGCCCCTAGTACAGCTGGTAAGCTGCTTAAAGAGCTGGTTCTTCCTTCCAGGGCAGCGGAGACCTGTGAAACTGGAGGATGAGCGACCTGTACTTCACACAGAAAATAGCTTCTGTTAACTTTTGTGTCAAAAAAGTACAACTGCAAAGGAGCACAGAGAGACAAGCTCAAATTAAACACAAAATTACAGGCTGAGGGAAAGGGACAGCCTGTACAGGCCCCTCCATGGGGAGCCCCAGGGTCAGGTGTGACGTACATCAGAGAAGCCAAAGGGAATGGCAATCTTACACTGTGCACATGCACTAAATACTCAGTTTCCATCCTGACTCAAGTTGTGTCAAAAAGTTTCTCACAGAGAGGTCAAAAAAGAAATTCAAAGGATGATACATTTTTCATGCGGACACACTGTTTCTAAACTATCTAGTTTACACCCTTCTTAGCACCACAGGAGCTAGTCTATTAAAATGGACTTACGCCAGCTTTTCAACACCCGATTAAGGCAAACAAGAAACCTTTATTCCCTCCTGAGCTGTTCAGGCATTCCTCTGCTTGGGCACAAGCAAGTGCCAGCACACACGAGCCGCTAAGCAAATGCAGCTGACTGGAATTGTTCATCTGTCAATTTCTAGAATTTGTCCCTCAGGGCATTTTTAAACAGCATTTTCTTCTTCAGCTAGGAATAAATAAGGAACCTTTCCCACTTCAAACTGTCATCACCAGTTTCCAAAGGGAGGTATAACAGAGCATGCCTCCAGTTTGGGACACATTGTGAATAACCAGGGCTTTGGTCCCACTCTTCATCTTCTCCCACTGTTCCCAGGAAAGATGTTTTCGTGGCAGATTTTGCTACTATAGCATTAGCCTGGAATTAAAGATGTGATGTGTTTTTTCATAAACCGATTGGCCAAGAATCTGACTTGCTACACATACAGTTCAATAACACAGCTACAAAACTGGATTTACCTCTGCAAATGCTTTTTCCATCAAAAAGCATTTGACATCTATGATGATACCCTACCTTAATTTATCAGACAGAATTAATGAAATAATACCCCATATCCAAACTGCAACCATATACCCCTTTTAAATTGCTCATTTAAAAATCTAAAATAGATTAGGAAAGGCTAGCAACCACTCATCATCAGAAAAACATACTGTTTAGGAAAAAGTACAGTTTATGCACATAACAAAGCTGAAAGTAAAAAATACAGTGTTCCATTGTGTAATAGGTATCTGCTCTACCACTATGCTCTTTTACATGTATATACATATATATTTATATATATTTTGCAGTCCTGTCAAATGCATCTGCTTCCCTTGGCATAAAACCTTCTTTTTTTATTTGGGGTGGTGGCATATGCAGAAAAAGCATCAGCCTGCAATACACCGAAATGAAAAGCTTTAAAAATTCTACAGCTATTACACAACAGGAATAGTATTAGCAGCCACCGGAACAAAAAGGATGCTACTCCTTGAAACAATATCCAAGCCATCAAGTATGACTGCTTTTGCTGCAGGTACCAAATAGGATTATGTTCAGCATTTATTCTGGAACACTCAAAGATCCTAAACTGTTCTTGCAGAACTGCAGATGCAGATCATTTTTGCAACCATTCTCTCACCAAAAAATGGTTTCACATATTCACAGAACATCAGTAAGGAACTTTTCTTTTCTTAGTTTTGTGATTCCCTACACTTTAAAACTTATAATATGTTGATGTATTAGTTAATTCCTAACTCCTTAATATAAAATTTCAGTTTCCAAAGTTACATTATTTCAAAATCAAAGATTTTAATGCTATCCCTCTTTTCTACAGGAACACATCCTATTTATAAGAATGGCTACCTCAGAAAAGAATGCAACCAAGGCCATAGGAATTACTCATGTGTGCAAAACATCTTCAAGGAAATCTAGGTTTTAATCTTTTTTTTTTTTTTTGTGATTTAACCACATCTAATGTTTAAACATTGACATTACTCGTTTAGCTGTTTTAAACATTAGTCAAACTGAAACAGTACAATAGGACAATCTCAAGACTAAGCAGCACATTTGGAAATACAAAGGAATTTAAAAAATCAATCAAAAATAATTTCTCTGTTCCTATCAGCACCTTGGAGACAACAGCTACAAGAAAACATTACTCTGGACTACAGACTGAGAACAACTTAGGCTAGAGGACAAGCAGGGTTGGGACAACCCACCCATCCCTGGTGCACCAACTCATTCCGGTGCTGGAAGACACTCCACCAGGACATGGACGTTCCTTAACCAACAGAGAAAGGTGATGGAAGTTGCTGTCCCTGCTACAGTGAGCACCTGGGGGTTTCTGGTTAACGCATCCTGAAAAAAAAAAGCTGCTATAAAACCTCTTGAATTCTTGTATTACATATTTTCAACACACAGTAGAGGAGCGCAAATCATTCATCACTTGAACAACATTCGTATCTGTAGGGCTTCAGAACAAGACAGACTTATTTTTGTTCTTTCTTCCTCCATAAGTTAGAGAGAGGATTCGCGTGAGCTACAGGGACTGTAACATCATAAAAATGCCTCAGAAATCGATGTTTAGAGGAAGGATGCAAAATATTCATCACTTAGTTTAACAGCGTTCAAAAGTACCAGATTACATCCCAAACTGAGGATGCATGAACACCTTCTCTAGCCCCTGCCCCAAGAGACTGGGAAGCTAACCGTGGGAAGTCAGTCCCTGCAGGATCCAAAGAAAGTTTACTGCCACAAAGTTTGCTAGTCACAAAGGTACATTTCTCCTTTCCACTGTGTTCTGGGTGCTTCAGGACTGCTGTAACAATATATCTTATTCACAGGCTCCTGCTGTTAAATGCAGAGCAGAATGGCCTTTTGCTGTACTGAAAGGGAGGTTTCATGTAAAGATCAGGCCTTTGCTAAAGCTGGAGAATTAACCATTTACAAAACACTAGCTTAAAATATGTTTTTAAACAATTTCTTATTTCCCCTTCCACTTTAATTCATGACTAAGGACTGGTGCTCCTCCAGTCCTTCGTGCTGGGAACAGACAGTGGAGATCTGACCACAGAGGTATATGGTTTCCTCCCAAAACGGTGTTCCCACATCTGCCCCACATCTTTACTGTCTGGCAGAAAAGCAAACCACTACCATCAGCTCCTTCCAGTGCTGCTTGCCGTTGCAGAGCATGCCATGTATGAGACAGCTGCTGGGAAAACTGGGAGACAGACCATGGACAGCAGGGGCTGGCTGGCTGGAGGCAGCTGGTAATGAGGCACAATGGGCTGGGAGCTCCCGAGACATTTCTGCAGCTTGAGGAACAAACACTACTTACTGCTGATTTAAAAGCAGAGCATCAAGTGAGAACAGGGTTACCCACCTACACCTGTGAGAGGATGAAAAAACCCCTCCTCGTGTCAAGATCCAAAGAGCACAAGTGTACCCTCCCCTCAAACAACTGCAGGAAAGACATCTTACACAGCCCAATCCAAGAATTTAATTGATTTTTCCAGAGAGAAGATTCGAACAAAACTTGATCGAAGTTTACAATGTCTATATGAAGATAAATCAGCAGAACAGGGTGCTGCAGCTTCAGCAAAAGCTGTATACCAATATAAAATATAGAAGGTGGAAAGCAGGTTATTTACCTGCAGTGGGCTTACGTGGTGAGGATTTGGTAGCGGGGGGCTGCAGGGGTGGCCTCGGTGAGAAGAGTCCAGAAGCTGCCCCATGCTAGGTAAGGGCCAGTCTCAGCTAACTCCAAAGGAACCAGCCACTGCCAAACCAATAAGCGATATTGAGTGTGCCTCTGTGAGAACAGATTTAAGAAGGAGAAAAAAACTGCTGTACAACAGCAGCTGGGAGAGAGAGGAATGAGAAACAGCCTTGTAGACACCAGGGTCAATGCAGCAGGAGGGCAGGAGGTGCTGCAGGCAGGCAGCAGCAGTTCCCCTGCGGGCTGTGCAGGGAGAGGCCCCTGGTGGAGCAGGCTGCAGCCCATGGGTCCCACATGGAGCAGATCTCCACACTGCAGCTCCCCCATGGGTGGAGGAGCCCCCGGTGGAGCAGGGGGATGTGGCCTGGAGGAGGCTGCAGCCCATGGAGAGCCCCTGCATGAGCAGGCCCCAGGCCAGAGCTGCCGACTGTGGGGGACCCATGCTGGAACAGTTTGCTCCTGATGGATGGACCCCATGGTACGGACCCATATCTGGAGGAGGTCTTGAAGAGCTGCTGCCTGTGGGCAGCCCCTGCAGGATCAGTTTGGGAAGGACGGCATCCCATGGGAGGGACCCCACGGGGAGCAGGGGCAGAGAGGAACTGAGAAGGAGCAGCAGAGATGAAGCGTTAGGGACTGATCCCCGCCCCCATTCCCTGTTCCTCAGCACTGCTCAGGGGGAGGACTTGGAGAGGGTGGATGGGGAGAAGGTATTTTTAGTTTCTCTCTGCTCTAGCTTGTTAGTAATAGGTAATAAATGACATTAATCTCCCTATTCTGAGTCTGTTTTGCCCGTGACAATA